ACTGCTGAGGAGTACAGATAAAGTCTACAGGTAACAAAAGAGATAACTTCTTTCCATTTGAAAAAAGCAATAATGAACAATGCAGTTCATTGGTTTTTAACATTCAAGTAGAAACAAATTAAGGCCTCAGTCCTAATTCCACTTACTTGGAGCCCATCATTGAATACAATGAGGTTTATTTCTGAGTAGACATGGGTCAGTTACAAGACATGGGGCCTGAAAGATAAATTACTCTAAATTATTTTATTCTAAATTAATTTTCTTGTAGTCATGGGTGGTAGGTAGATGCAGGCACAATTTGTTTGATTAAATCACTAATATTTTTATGCTAAATGTATTATAGGGCTACATGCTCATCCTACTTCCAGGCTGCTTGCATCTGACACACTTAAGGCACATATGCCCACTTTTGTAATCAGGATGCTATAAGTTTTTATCAGAAGTCTATTGATTGTTATGGATAAATAATAAATAATAATGGATAATGGATAGGTGAAAAATTCCACCGCTTGGGCTAGATAACCACCAACTGTAATCTTCTGCATGTCTACTGACAAGTAACTCTTTGAATTCAATTTGGCTTACTCTCAGGTAACAGTCAGAAGGCTTACAGCCTAAAATATTTTTTAAAATATACCGCACCTTTCCATTACCTTGGGTGAAGTTTCATAATGATAACTTGAATGGTCATTAATGAGCAGCTAAAAAGTAACATGTATTTGGCTTATACAGACCTTTTTTTCTGCAGTCCAGGGTCCGTACAGGAAACATGTAAATGTGGCAGAGAGAAGAGTCAAATTCAGGTCTGATGGGTTTAGGTTTTGGAATAGGAGGGTCTGGTCTTTCTCCTTCAATGCACAGCTGCTCTGAGTTTACTTGCTTGAGCTTTTGACCTTTTAGTTTTGTTGGGTGTACACATTTAGCATAATTTCCCAAGTTCCTGTTGCTTGGAAGCTGCAGCATCGTTATAAGAGTTTCTATCTGACAGTTGCAGTCCCATGGATTATCATACAGGCGTAAATAAATTAAAAGAGGCATGTAAATAAACACCTCCTCAGACAGGATTTTCAACTTATTGTGCTGCAGTAAAAGTGTAGTGAGTTTATTTAAACCAAAAAAAGCTTCATCCTCAATTTTTGATATCTCATTCTGTTGTAAATCTAGACTTTTTAATTTTGTGAACTTGGAAAACATGTTGTTCTTCAGCTTGCGAATTCTATTTCTTGCTAGGAGCATGTGTTTTAAATCTTCCGGCCAATCAGACAATACAAATGTCAGTTTCCTTTCTTGGCAATCTAAGTATTTGTCATGAAGATAGGTGTACACATCACATGGGGGGCCTGGGGTGTAGCGCTTGACGGTGCCGGATGCTCTTCTTAAGCCGTTTGACTTTCCATTATTTGCTTTGTTTCTTGAACTTCCATTTCTTGTCTTCCTAAAGTCAGCTGCTTTACAAAAGAAAAGTAGTATTATAATTGTAACCACTTGCATCCTGACATCCAGCTGGTCCCAATTATATTGTACAACAGCTGGAACAGTCAGAGTATTCCTTTGAAATCTGAGTTTGGAAGCCTTTAACTAGCGTGGTTCTGAATCAAGGAGGCACAGCAAGGGTTTGAGGAATCGCTCTGTTGGAAGAAAAACAGAATATTAGTGAGATATTACCCTAGAATTAATAAAAATTTTATTATTATTATTATTATCATTATTATTATTATTATTATTATTATTATTATTATTATTATTATTATTATTATTATTCCGCCTATCTGACTGTGTTTCCTCAGCCACTCTGGGTGGCTTACAACATATATAAAAAATTGTAAAACATCAGACATAAAAAATTTCCTGATACAGTGGTACCTCGGATTAAGTACTTAATTCGTTCCACTGCGCCGCCGGAGCACGATTTCTGTTCTCGTCCTGAAGCAAAGTTCTTAACCTGAAGCATTATTTCTGGGTTAGCTGAGTCTGTAACCTGAAGCATATGTAACCTGAAGCATATGTAACCTGAGGTACCACTGTACAGGGCTGCCTTCAGATGTCTTCTAAAGGTCAGTTGTTTATTTCCTTGACATCTGATGGGAGGGCACTACCGAGAAGGCACTCTGCCTGGTTCCCTGTAACTTCGCTTCTTGCAGTGAAGGAACCGCCAGAAGGCCCTCGGAGCTGGACCTCAGTGTCCAGGATGAACAATGGGGATGGAGACGCTCCTTCAGGTATACTGGACCGAGGCCATTTAGGGCTTTAAAGGTCAGCACCAACACTTTGAATTGTGCTCGGAAACGTACTGGGAGTCAATGTAGGTCTTTCACAACTGGTGTCCTAAATTATAATGAATTAAAGCTGACATTTCAATATCTTTTCCATAATAATCAGCACATTGTGTATTGAAAACAATTTCGGCTGTGATAATAATGGTGAGCTTCCCTCCTAAATGGAGATATAAATAATTTATTTATTATCAAATAATGATGATGTCACACACCATTATACCTGATACAGTATCACCTGATTCAGGGAACTCAGGGAATGAATTTGTAAGGGCATTTAGGTCAACAAATGGAACCCAGATGATTTTGCCATGGTGTGATGATTATTGGCTTGTAGTAAACATGGAAGAAGCCATTTTCATTAGTGACAGCAGTGCTATGGAATGCCCTTCTTGGCTGAAATATGCAATGCCCCATCAGTATTGGCATTCCATTGACTCCTGAAGATACACCTGCTTATAAAGCATTCCCCTGATCTCCTGACTTTCGTCTCTTGTAGTAATTCGATTTGTTTTGTTTTTAGGATGGCTCAGTTTTTTTGGTTTTTTATTAGTTTTTATGGGGGGGGGGTTGTGGTACAGAGCAAACGGAAAAACAGGGAACTGTACACCTGTTTTCTCCAAGTCAGTTCATAGTCTTTTTCACAGCTCATCGCATGGGTAGGTCCTTTGTGTATTTATTTATTTATTTTTATTGATATTGTGAGACATTAGTGGTTCCCAAGCTTGGTTGGTTGTGTTTGGTAATAATTGTTGTTGTAACTCTTATGCTGTTTTAAGGGGTTTGTTATATATTTTAATTTAGCTGTTTTACAGTGCATTTTTATTTTTGGTAAAAGGTACCCCTGCCCGTACGGGCCAGTCTTGCCAGACTCTAGGGTTGTGCGCCCATCTCATGCTAGAGGCCGGGGGCCAGCGCTGTCCGGAGACACTTCCGGGTCACGTGGCCAGCGTGACAAGCTGCATCTGGCGAGCCAGCGCAGCACACGGAACGCCGTTTACCTTCCCGCTAGTAAGCGGTCCCTATTTATCTACTTGCACCCGGGGGTGCTTTCGAACTGCTAGGTTGGCAGGTGCTGGGACCGAGCAACGGGAGCGCACCCCGCCACGGGGATTCGAACCGCCGACCTTTCGATCGGCAAGTCCTAGGTGCTGAGGCTTTAACCCACAGCGCCACCCGTGTCCCACTTTTTTTGGTTATTTTTGGTAGCTATATGTTTATTCTTGTTATTTTGCTGTTGACTTTATTTGTTTGTGAACTGCCTTGTATTTCTTCTTGAAATGAAAGCGAGTGAATGGGAATTACATTGAATTTTAATTTGCTCTTTTAAACAAGTGTTAAGTGATGGACACTGGGAAAAGAAATCCTACCTTCCCATATATGTTAATAGTCTGAAGTAGCAGTGACTACACAGGAAAGAGACCTTGGGTCTTTGTGGATAGCTTGATTAAAATGTTGACCCAGTGTGTGGCACCTTTGAAAAAGGTGAATTCCACATTAAAGATAATAATACCCTGTTAATGGTTTACCTGGTGGTCGTTGTGGCCTGACATGACTGTTGGGCAAGGAATGGGAAGCATCAGGAATCTGCCTGATGTGGCTGGGTAGGAGGGCGGAGTCTGGAACTGGAGTTAGCTAGCACCATCAGTGGTCAGAAGTGATGGGAGTCATATTGTCTGGCTCCCAGGGAGAAGGGCTTCCGGGGCAGACCAGAGAAAAGACTATGAAGGTTTGGTCCGCCCTTGGAACATAGAGGATGGACCTACCCAGCCTGTCCACTGCCAATGCTGCTCTTGAACCTCTGGCTTTCCATAGGCCAGAAGTTTTCCAGCGCTGGTTAACACTGACTGACAGCCGAGTTTCAGAGTCTCCACGGTTTCATATTTTTTCCTAGCTCAACCTAGAGATGCTGGGGATTGGACATGGGACTTTCTGTACGCCTGCAGAGCAGATGTTCTACCACCGAGCTTTGCCCTCTCATGATCTTATGATTCTTCTTAGCCTGCTTTTAAATATTTGCTCTACTGCCTTGTCTGGTGCAATACCATGTTCCATGAAAACACTGTCTGGGATTGCAGCCTAACAGCATGGGTGGGAAAGTGGCCCTCTAGATGTCATTGGACTCCATTTCAGTGTTGGCTAACACAATCAATGGTCAGAGGTGATGGGAGTCATGTTCAAGCAGTATCTGGAGGTCACAGTAGTCTGCATTATCTTTTCATCCTGGAGGCAAGGGGATCATAGGAAAGTGAGGCCATTAAACAAGATGGACCCATAGCATGGGCTGAGATGTCACAGGACAAAACCTTAGTTAAGAAAAAGGCTTGTAATGTCCCTATTCACTCATAGTATCAACACTCATTAAGTTTACATTCTTGACCCAATCAAGTCTAGGAGCTGTCAGAGGAGTGACATGCTGTCACAGGCACCTTGTCCAAGCCTCAACAGGGTGGCTTATCTTACTGTTTGAGAATGTGTGTTAACAGAGCAATAACTACATTCCTTTGGTGATGGGGGGGGGTGTCCCTGGAAAAAGCAAAACGATCTTTTAACAATGAAAACATTGTGTAATCCCAATGAAATGACATATCTCCAGTGTTACTGACCATTGGTATAAAATATAATTCATTCTTTCCCATTTTGGGTTTATGTTACTGAAAACTGCTAGATATTAGCTGATGTTTTCAAGTAATGCAAGATACTAATTTGGTGTTATATTTATTTTAGCTCACTGTAAGAATTTGCAAGACTTAAATGTCACTGAATGCCAAGGGTTAAGTGTAAGTATTCATACAACAGATTTGAAATAGCTTTAATGTAATTCAGATATAATAATTTTTAGTTCTAATTTTGATTTCTAGAGAAGACACAACATTTTTAAAATGAAAAGCTGTGCTCTATTTATGTAGCATAATATGGCTAAAGTCCAAATATTATGAAGTTTGAATAGGAAACCCATCTGATTTCATGGTTTGTAATCAAGGAAAAGTGTATAGACTTCCAACTTCAGTCTACAGTGGTGTGAGGAGCCTCCAGACCATGGGCCAAATATGGACCAGAAACAACAATTTAAGGAGGACATTTTCAAAACCAAAAGAGGTCATTTATTCTACCTAAAGATTCTGGTTATCTTAGTTACATTTATATGTTGTATTATGTTAAGAATGTGGTTACAGCAGATGATGCTAAATATTATTATTATTGCATGTCCAATTTATTATCAGATGTCTAGGTGTGCTGTTGAAGTAGAGTGTGAGCTGAAAAAAATGCATCTGATATAGAGCCATATTATTTACTTTAAAAAATGAAGCCAGATTCATTTATGATTTTCTTTATTGAACAGGATGAACTAATAAGGCTTGTAACAGAAGGTTGCCCGGCAATCCTTTACTTAAATTTATCTCACACAGATATCACAAATGGAACACTAAGACTTCTGTCAAGGTAAAAACAATCTGTTTTATAAATAAATTCTGAATTTTAGTGTAACAGTAGAAGAAAGATTCCACCTTTATAAAGATCAGCTGCTCTCTCTCGCTGACTATCACTGTAATATGGAAACAAGTGTCCCCCAACTTTTTGGACCAAGAGACACATTTGAAATTGTAGGAAACTGCTGTGGGTGCCAGAAAACAATTTCACAGCAGAAAAGTTGGCAGTGCTGAGCACCCCCCTCAAAAAAAAGGGGGGGGGACTACAACAACCCTCTCCCAAATAAAACAGTGATCAAAAAGCAGGGGCAACACCCTCCCTCCAATAAGACATTGACCACTGGTTTTGAGAGACTTCAACATCCCTGCCAAGGCAACTGGCTCTGGGGTGGCTGAGGACTTCATGGCTGTGGTGGAACTGACAGTAAGGCTTGAGAATATGGACTGATAAAAACTTGCAGAGAGGGGACAAGTAGCTGGGCCAGGGAGGTTATTATTGCCTCCTTGCAAGAGGGGGTGGTCCTTCCCTGCTTGAAGGAATCATAGAATCATAGAGTTGGAAGAGAACACAAGGGCCACCGAGTCCAACCCCCTGCCAAGCAGGAAACACCATCAGAGCACTCCTGACATATGGTTGTCAAGCCTCTGCTTAAAGACCTCCAAAGAAGGAGACTCCACCACACTCCTTGGCAGCAAATTCCACTGTCAAACAGCTCTTACTGTCAGGAAGTTCTTCCTAATGTTTAGGTGGAATCTTCTTTCTTGTAGTTTGGATCCATTGCTCCATGTCCGCTTCTCTGGAGCAGCAGAAAACAACCTTTCTCCCTCCTCTATGTGACATCCTTTTATACATTTGAACATGGCTATCATATCACCCCTTAACCTCCTCTTCTCCAGGCTAAACATGCCCAGCTCCCTTAGCCGTTCCTCATAAGGCATCGTTTCCAGGCCTTTGGCCATTTTGGTTGCCCTCCTCTGGACACGTTCCAGTTTGTCAGTGTCCTTCTTGAACTGTGGTGCCCAGAACTGGACACAGTACTCCAGGTGAGGTCTGACCAGAGCAGAATACAGTGGCACTATTACTTCCCTTGATCTAGATGCTATATTCCTGTTGATGCAGCCCAGAATTGCATTGGCTTTTTTAGCTGCCGCATCACACTGTTGGCTCATGTCAAGTTTGTGGTCAACCAAGACTCCTAGATCCTTTTCACATGTACTGCTCTCAAGTCAGGTGTCCCCCATCTTGTATTTGTGCCTCTCATTTTTTTTTGCCCAAGTGCAATACTTTACATTTCTCCCTGTTAAAGTTCATCTTGTTTGTTTTGGCCCAGTTCTCTAATCTGTCAAGGTCGTTTTGAAGTGTGATCCTGTCCTCTGGGGTGTTAGCCACTCCTCCCAGTTTGGTGTCATCTGCAAATTTGATCAGGATGCCCTTGAGTCCAGCATTGAGTGGTAAAACCACTCCTCACGAAACTCTCCCTGAATTCAGGAAATCTAAGTCATTACAGGCCAGTTGCTAATCTCCCCTTCATGCTCACAAACACAAGATACTCTCTGAGTCTGACAGATGACATGTTCATATAGATGCACTCAAAAATAAGTCCTATTGACTGTCTCCCAGGTATGTATGTATAGCCTCAGTTATTTGTACTTCTAAACAAGAGATTGGGAAAGGACCATGAAATAAATTTGGTTAGAGCTGAATAGAGCACCATGATTACCTTATTATACGCCTGCACAGCGGCGTAGCGTGGGTTATCAGCACCCGGGGCAAGGCAAGTAATTTGCGCCCCCTAACCCGGGGCAAGGCAAGTAATTTGCGCCCCCTAACCCGGGGCAAGGCAAGTACAGTAATTTACTCTCCCAAGCAGCAGCAGCGAGGCTTCTCTTTCCCCCGCGCTCTCCTGGAGCTGCCTCTTTTCTTTCCTTTTTTCCCTTTCTCCAAGGCTTTTCGCTTTCTCTCCTAAATTGATTCCTCCTCCACACCGCGGCGTTTCCTGGCTGCTCCCCCCCCTCTCTCCTCCTCGCTCTGCTTGCCTTTCCCTGCCCTGCCTGAGGGCGCCCTGAGGAGACTCCGCTCTCCTTTTTGACCAGGCGAGGTGGAAAAAAGGGGGGAAAGTCTCTTCCCGCCCCCTCGCCAGACTCCCTGCTCGGCTCGGCTCACTACCCAGGCGGCCAGTGGAGAGAGTCTTGAGCCGCTTAATTCCCAGCAAGGAATTAGCAGGCTCGCTCCACCTCCTCCTCCTCCCGACTTTGCTGCTGCTGCTGCTGCTGCGCGGCTTTTTTCCTCTACCGACGGCACGCTGTGCCTTGGAGAGGTTCCCGCTTCCTCGAGGGGGGCCGGCCAAACGCGCCCCCCAAAATGTTGCGCCCGGTGTGGCCGGCACCCCTGGCACCCCCCACGCTACGCCACTGCGCCTGCATGCTAAAGACCTGATGAGGCACTTTGGAGCTATTTGGACAATGAAAGAGAACTGTGTTAATGGCATGTTTGATTTTACTGCAGTTTACCCCAAGACGTTTTAGTTACCGTATTTTTCGCACGATTGGACGCACCGGACCATAGGACGCACCTAGTTTTCAGGGGGGGAAATCAAGGAAAAAATATGATTCCCCCCCCCCAGCTCTGGGAGCAGTGGACAGGCTGCACGCAGCCTGTGCGCTACTCCAAGACCTTCTCCCTGCTTTTGCGGGAGGTGGCGGAATTCCCCCATCTCCCGCAAAAGTCCGCAGGAGGGAGAAGGGACTGACTCGGCCAGTCAGTCCCTTCTCCCTCCTTGGGGAAAAGCCCCCAAGAGCTGCGCGCTCTGTAAAGGCTGCGCGGCTCTTGCAGGCTTTTCTGCGAGGTGGGGGAATCCCCCCACCTCCTAGAGAAGCCAGCAAAGCCGTGCAGCCCCTTTAAAGAGCGCATGGCTTTTGCCTGCTTTTGCGGGAGGTGGGGGAATTCCCCCATCTCCCGCAAAAGCCCGCAGGAGGGAGAAGGGACTGACTCGGCCAGTCAGTCCCTTCTCCCTCCTTGGGGAAAAGCCCCCAAGAGCTGCGCGCTCTGTAAAGGCTGCGAGGCTCTTGCAGGCTTTTCTGCGAGGTGGGGGAATCCCCCCACCTCCTAGAAAAGCCAGCAAAGCCGTGCAGCCCCTTTAAAGAGCGCACGGCTTTTGCCTGCTTTTGCGGGAGGTGGGGGAATTCCCCCATCTCCCGCAAAAGCCCGCAGGAGGGAGAAGGGACTGACTCGGCCAGTCAGTCCCTTCTCCCTCCTTGGGGAAAAGCCCCCAAGAGCTGCGCGCTCTGTAAAGGCTGCGAGGCTCTTGCAGGCTTTTCTGCGAGGTGGGGGAATCCCCCCACCTCCTAGAAAAGCCAGCAAAGCCGTGCAGCCCCTTTAAAGAGCGCACAGCTTTTGCCTGCTTTTGCGGGAGGTGGGGGAATTCCCCCATCTCCCGCAAAAGTCCGCAGGAGGGAGAAGGGACTGACTCGGCCAGTCAGTCCCTTCTCCCTCCTTGGGGAAAAGCCCCCAAGAGCTGCGCGCTCTGTAAAGGCTGCGCGGCTCTTGCAGGCTTTTCTGCGAGGTGGGGGAATCCCCCCACCTCCTAGAGAAGCCAGCAAAGCCGTGCAGCCCCTTTAAAGAGCGCATGGCTTTTGCCTGCTTTTGCGGGAGGTGGGGGAATTCCCCCATCTCCCGCAAAAGCCCGCAGGAGGGAGAAGGGACTGACTCGGCCAGTCAGTCCCTTCTCCCTCCTTGGGGAAAAGCCCCCAAGAGCTGCGCGCTCTGTAAAGGCTGCGAGGCTCTTGCAGGCTTTTCTGCGAGGTGGGGGAATCCCCCCACCTCCTAGAAAAGCCAGCAAAGCCGTGCAGCCCCTTTAAAGAGCGCACAGCTTTTGCCTGCTTTTGCGGGAGGTGGGGGAATTCCCCCATCTCCCGCAAAAGCCCACAGGAGGGTTGGAGAGCAGCGGGAAGGCGTCGCGCGCCTTCCTGCTGCCCCCCATCCTCTGGGGCTGGCGATGGGGGAAGCGCTGCTTTCCCCCCGCCAGCCTCAAAGAGCAGACTCTCCTGGCTTCAGCGGAAGCAACGGGAAGCCTCCGGAGCGCAGGCTTCGGAGGCTTTGCCTTGCTATCGCTGAAGCCAGGGAGCCTGCATTCGCTCCATAGGACGCACACACATTTCCCCTTAGTTTTTAAGACGGAAAAACTGCGTCCTATGGTGCGAAAAATACGGTAGTTAGTTAGTTATTCATTTATTTGGAATAGTTATAGCCCACCTTCCTAGTTCAATCAGTTAAGGCAGCTAACAAAGACAGCTATTTAAAAATACAGCCACAACAACAACATTTTAAAATTCAACAAAAGATGGACAGTTAAAATATAACAATAAACAAAACGAAACAAAAACTTAAGTGGATAATCAGCAAAAAGAATTGCCTAAACACAAAAGTTTTCAGGAGGTAGAGATGAAGCATAGAATTACTGAGGTTGTGACAATGACCGCTCCCCGCTTAAAACAGGGGGCGCCCTTTGCGTGGACGCGTGCAGCCCCTAGATCTGGAGCGGCTCCAACAGCATAGGCCTGGCCTTGCCTTCCCTCAGGTGGGATACCTGGAGGTCTCCGCCTACCTCAGTCAGTTGTCCAATCCCACCTGGGGGAGGCGTTGCCAAGGAGACCAGGCCAGGTAGGGGAGGGATTACCTGCCCACACAATAGAGGGAGGATCTTACCTGGGAAACCTCACTTGGCTATAGCTGCTGTAGCTGAGAAGGCCCTCTCACCATGCATTGCATGGGGGTGATGCACATCAAAGCACCTCACCTAATGATGTCCATGAATAGGTCAAGGTAAACAGGACCATGCAGGAGGAGATGGGCAGAACAAATCCTCTATGCCAGTGGTTGCAAGGCTATACTGGCAAATTAAATGCTTATCATATACCAGGGTTATAAAATTGAAGGAGGCAGTTCACATCTTCTAAAGGTAAATTGCAATGAATTTAATTAAAATAGGCCATTAAATCCAGTTCTCTGTTACTTTCCCTGAAGCTCACAATGTGCCTGATTAATCCCCTAATATGCGGGTGCATGGTAAGACACGATGAGGGAAGGCTATAATAGGAAAGTGTGAGATACTGGACTTCTAAAAGGTTCTTGGCAGGAATTTCAAAAATACTGACAAGTCAACCCTTGTGAAACATCTTCTAGCTGCTTCCCTGCTCCCTTCTGTATTATGCATATACTTATGCATATCATAGACACAACACAAGCTAGTCTAAATCTTATGTCTGAAGCTCCCTACCAGTTGTGAAGCATAAGGCTCCCTGAGTTCAATGAGACTTCTTGTATTGGGAACTTCCAGCCTTCCAGGTGTTGTTGGACTATAACTACCATCATCTCTGATAATGGGCCATGTTCACTAGGGCTGATGACAGCTGCAGTCTAACAACATATGGAGGGCCACATGTTTTCTATTCAAGTTCCACATACCTATCTTGCACCTAGGCCTCACCAGTAGTGAGGAACTGATCAACAAAGTGGAAGTACAGTGAACATTGAGAGGAAACAATAATGTTCTCTTGGGTTTCGTTAGATAGAGGCAAGGGAAACCTGAGTATCGTTGGACATGCACTGCAGACTTTAAGAAGGCTGATTTCCTTAACAATCTTGAGGAACTACTGTGTGAGATCCCACTATACAGTGGTACCTCAGGTTACATACGCTTCAGGTTACAGACTCTGCTAACCCAGAAATAGTGCTTCAGGTTAAGAACTTTGCTTCAGGATGAGAACAGAATTCATGCTCCGGCGGCTCAGCAGCAGCAGCAGCAGCAGGAGGCCCCATTAACTAAAGTGGTGTTTCAGGTTAAGAACAGTTTCAGGTTAAGAACAGACCTCCGGAACGAATTAAGTACTTAACCTGAGGTACCACTGTATGTCAGAAATACTCAAAGAGAAGGGAGTCCAAGATGGATGGAAGTTTCTTAAAGGTGAAATATTGAAGGCACAAATGCAGATGACTCTAACAAGAAAGAAAAATGGGAGGCATTTGTTGGTAAACATTTTTATAAACAACTTGGATAATGAAACTGAGAAGATGATCATCAAATTTGCGGATGACACCCAAACTGGGAGAGGTATCTAATGCTGTAGAAGTATTGAAGACAGAATCAGGATTGGAGATTACCTTAACAGAATGGAGAACTGGGCCCAAACTGCCAAAATGAAATTCAATAGGGATAAATGTAAGGTTCTACACTTAGACAGGAGGAACCAGCTGCACAAATATAAGATGGGGGACACCTGGTCTGGGTGTAGCACATAAGAAAAGGTCTAGGGCAGGGGTCAGCAACCCGCGGCTCCGGAGCCGCATGTGGCTCTTTTACACCTTTGCCGCAGCTCCGGGGCGGATACTAGCCAGGGGAGGAGGCGCATTGTGCGCCCCGACACTCCCCACTGTGGCGGGCGCTGTACTGGCTGTGACGTCGCATGGGGGCGGCGTGCGTTAGTCATGCACCGTCCCGACGTCACCTTCCCGCCCGCCCGCCCGCTACATTGTAAGGGGCATGTATGCTGGTCACTGCATTGAAAGGGGGCATGTACGCTGGTCACTGTTTTGAAGGGGAGTGAAGGACACACACGCACAAAAAGGTAACTTGTTAATTTAACATTTATTTCTATGAGGAGGAGTAATTCTGAGGGGTCAAACAAATAAATAATAAAAAAGTGACAAAAAAGTTATTTTTATAATGACGAGTTTTGCGGCTCCCAGTTTTTTTCTCTTCGGAAACGGGTCCAAGTGGCTCTTTTTGTCTTAAAGGTTGCAGACCCCTGGTCTAGGGGTTTTAGTAGACTACAAGCTTAACAGTCAACAGTATAATGTAGCAGCAAAGAAGCTAATGCTATTCTAGATTGCATCAACAGAAATATAGTGTCCCAGTCATGGGAATGTCATAGTACTGCTCTATTCTGCCTTGATCAGAGCACACCTGGAGTAATGTGTTCAGTTCTGGGCATCACAATTTAAGAAAGATCTTGACAAGCTGGAACGTGTGCAGAGGAGGCAACCAGTATGATCAAACATCTGGAAACCAAGCCTTCAGTATGTTTCACCTGGACTCCTTCCTTATGCATTTCAGCTGGTCATAATTTGCTTGAATGAAATAAAGTATGTTATATAGGTAGTTTGTTAAATAGCTAATTTGTTCTTTGTGCCCATGTTCCTGTGTGTACACCAGCAAATGAAAGCTGGGTTAATTCTTGCTGTGAGCTACAGTGGTACCTCGCAAGACGAATGCCTCGCAAGACAAAAAACTCGCTAGACGAAAGGGTTTTTTGTTTTTTGAGCTGCTTCGCAAGACGATTTTCCCTATGGGCTTGCTTCGCAAGACGGAAACGTGTTGCAAGTTTGTTTCCTTTTTCTTAACACCGTTAATACAGTTGCGACTTGACTTCGAGGAGCAACTCATAGCACGCGGTGTGGTAGCCTTTTTTGAGGTTTTTAAAGACTTTGGTGATTTTTGAAGCTTTTCCGAACCTTTTCCGACACCGTGCTTCGCAAGACGAAAAAAATCGCAAGGCGACAAAACTCGTGGAATAAATTAATTTCGTCTTGCGAGGCACCACTGTAGTTTTATATCCTTATGCCATTTTCTAGTGTCCAATGTGGCCTAGTGGTATTTTCAAAGTAGCCTCCAAGTTCATAAAGCCTTTCCAAATGCTGACATTTCCCCCTGCAAAAATAATATTCCATTTAAATATAGCTAAATCATCTTTTGCTTCTCTGTCTCAGCACTAATGTGTTTGGATCAGTGTGAATGAACTTTCTGTTTTCAGCATACCATATTGTAGTTTTCCTATCTGAACTTTGCAAAAGTTCTATCGCCTGCCAAGCTACGTTGTCCTAATCACATTATCTCCTGCAACCACAAAAAGAAAACAAGCAAACAGCTCAGATTGAAATTTCCTTTAAGACCCCTCCCACAAAACCCTTAGTTTTTGCACCAGTTTCCTGTTGTTGGCAGTCTCAACTAGGTGCAGCTCACGTACTATGTTATATTTTAACACAATTCTTCAGTAACATTTATAAATCATACAGTTGGTTATGTTACGATGTTGCTGGGCCAAACAAAGCTCATTCATTGTGAGCCTGCACTTCCTTAATAAACATTATCCCCACTTTGAACCCTCCTTTGCTGTCAGTCTGATTGGCTACACTCAGTCAGGGCTTTGAAGAGATTCACACAAAAAACACTGCCACGTGAATGCCAAGTATAGGGGATGCAATACATCCCATACGTTGAGACATCTAACAGAGCATCCCTCCAAGGGAAATAAAATGACCTAAAAGGTAACCTAATCTCCCTTCTCTTTGAAAGGTATGCACACACACATTTTCATTTAAATATATTGTTGTAAAAAGGCTTGTTTCAATTCAGCCATGCATTTGGGACTCCAGAATACTTATTTGTTTATTACATTGTTATATTAACAGACACCTGAAGTCTAGAAGAACAAAGTATAATTAAAACCCATTGCAGGGATTGGCCCTATGACCCTCCAGATGTTGCTGTGGTACAACTCCCATCATCTATGACCATTGGCTACGCTCGGCTGGGACTGATGGGAGCTGGGAGTCCAGCAAAATCTGAGGGACCACAGGTTCCCATTCTTGCCATAAAGAATATTAGATACTGACTAATACAAGCTGGAGCATTTTAACTTTGCGGAGAGAAGATGAAGCCTGTTACCATTCATTGTTACTTGTCATTGTCATAATGATGTACATACTGAGAATATAATCCACAGTTTGTACACCTAAAAATTAATGTGCTATCACTGGAAGATCTTAGGTGTTTATCTTCTCACAGAAAAGTTTATCTGAATGCCTTTTTGTCTTAATACAAAAATAAATATTTACTGTTTATATTTCTTTCCATATGTCTTTAAATTTAACCCTTATTATCTGCAAAGTTTTCCCTCTCTTATTCATTAAGAACACAAAAGTCCAAGTCTTACAAGCAGTGGTCATGATGTCATACTTTCATCACGGTGGGTGTTCCCAGCTTAGCTTTTGCTGACTTGTGAAGTTGCCTTAAATGTTTTCCTGAACTAAAATTTGTTGCAGAGCATGTTGTCTACTCCTAATCATACAGTGTATTTTTTCTTCTGCAAGCTTTCATTTGTGGTAATTGTGGCATTGCATCTCTTATTTTAGTTCAACTACTTTATAATTGTATAAAATTAATACTCTTCAGTATGATAATGCCTAAGTATGTATTATAAAAATGAAGTTGTAGAGAGCACAGTTTCAGAGTATTCATTTGCTGTGCATATTGTCTAACCAACTTCCTTTGTCTGTCACTGGATATATGTTATAAATGTTTCCTATTAATAAGTCACACAGTGCAATCCTGTGCATATTTACTCAAAAAATGTCACCATGCTCAATGAGGCTTACTTCCAGATATAGCAAAGTATTACAGCTTTAGGTTGTTACGTGAGCACACAACTATTTTGTATTTTTGTTTTGTTAGAATAGCTGTGTCAAACCTTAATGGAAACAATTACACAAGCAGGGATGGTTTAACATTATGTTTAATCTTTTATGCTTTTAATATCCTTTGATAGAGTTCTGGTTTTCATTTTGAACACAAAAAGCTTAAAAAACAATGTGAAGTTAATGTTACAACTTGGTCCTTAAAATGGTTGAGAGTCATATATTTCTAATTTAGTGCAAACATTTGAGTTTACAACCAAGGAAAGTCATTTTAAAATCAGGTTTCATTTAAGATGACTTTGGTTTGTGAATCATCTTATTAAACAGTGTAAAGTACATGCAACAAAGAAAAGTGAAACACAGCTTTTTTTGTATTCAGGCAAAGTGAATATTCCCATTAAATTCCAGTATCCACCCATGTTCTTAGAAAGCTTTTTAGCTACAGTATCAAATTGCACCAGAAATCTGTATGCAACATCTTAGTAACTGACTTCTTCTTTTATCTGGCATAGGGGATGCCCCAATTTACAGTATTTAAGTTTAGCTTATTGCAGAAAATTCACAGACAATGGCTTACTGTACCTCGGCTCTGGAAGAGGGTGTCACAAGCTCATCTACTTGGATATTTCAGGCTGCCTCCAGGTTTGCATTTCAGTTTTCTTCTTCATATTGTAGCGAAGTGATTCCTTTAGAGAACTGACGGCACCAAGCGCTCATGGTATAATCAAGTAGTACAGGCACTGCAGCAAAGTTTTGAGAGGTTTTAAATTACATTACCACAGCTGCTTAAATTTTCCTGAGGAATAGCACTATAGGCTTTTGGCTTTTGTCCAGTGGGCGTCTTTAACTATAAACAGCCTGTCCTTATTGCATAATGAAAGCATGCATTGCTGTTGGAGGTGGACTCAAAACATGCTTGCTTTGTGCTTTTGCTTCCATACGTACAATTTGCAGACATTAACAATACTCAAGGGTCCTCTGCTGAGCAAAGAGAAATAAAGCTCCTTGAAAGGGACAGGATTTCCTGAAAAGGAAATCAGATTGTCAGTGAGCTTTCTAATATCACTTTCCTTCTTTTGTAAAGTGTAAGAATGTAGCATGGTAACATACTTCCACCCTTCCACTAAGAGAGAGAGAGGGCGGGGGGAAATATAGAGAGAGAGTGTTACACACTCTTTCTCTCTCTCTTGGCCCCCAGCCCCCAACAGTCTTTTTTGTTGTTGTTGCTGCAGGGATGTGTACAGCTATTCTTTCAAACTGCTTCATTTCGGCAGCCCACTGTCGGATGTGTAAGAATCTATACAGTGGGGACATCCTGTACCATCGTAACATAACTTCAAATTCATAAAACAATAATTGGAAACCATAGAAGGATCCTGCAGGTGATGCCAAGGCACACTTTGAACCTTGCTCCATTCTCACTAGTGCAGACATAAAGGTGAAATATAAAAGCATCTAGGAATGAATTGCAAGAGCTACTGCAGAAAATTGGATTCCTTGGGAAGAAGAGGGGAAAATAAATTTAATAAATAAATAAACATTGGATTTTCCCTTATTCAATCCCTTCCCACTATCACCACATATGCAAACAAAATACATAAATCGAGTAGTAAAAGCAGTTGAGGTTCTCGACAGAAGAATGAAAGCTGTGCACTCACTTTGCGCGTTATTTCCCAATTTCCAGCCACCCTGTTTAGGATATAGAGACCTATTGCACACCCTTCCAGGTCCCCCTCTGTCCTATCAGCAATGGTAGGTCATTCCTTTCCATTTCCATGTCCCTCCTCTGGGATCAGGTGAGACTTCATTGACAAGTTCACATACCAAACAACCCTTTCCAAAATAATTTGCCTCTGTGTTAAAACTGAAGCAACAGCCTCAGTGATTGCTGGAGTAGTTGAGAGCCGAGAGAAGGATCTGAGACCTCCTTGGTTTCCTATCTGCTACTGAGGCTTTTGCAACAGGCCTGTTCCTGTTATTTATTTGTTAATATTTTTCTTTACCCCGAAACAGGATACAATAAATCAGCAAAATACAAACAGAACAAATCTAAACAAAGTGTAAAAGGCAGAAAACCTACATGCTTACCAGGTTATAGAAGCTATGGTGAAATGTAAAGGGGCAGGAATGAGGGTGTTAATTGAGTGAAGTTAGGAAATGGAGATACAGACTGGGTGAAAGGCCAAAGCAAGGAAGCTAGTGGAGAGGTAATGGTAGAGGAAAGAGCTTTACAAAATATCCTGCTTGAAAAACATCTATGAACCCCATCTGTGAAGTTTCAAGGGCCCTTAATTTGTCTCATAATAAAAATAATTTCAATGTAATAATTTTAAAATTAAAATGCACATCGTATGAATGCAAGCAGTATGTGGTTCTTATCAGTTAAGAAGCATTGATCCTTATAGAAGTTTGAGCTGAACACTCCTTGGATAGACCCATCCTGTCTATCCTAATTGCATTCTCCCTTCCTTAACCATCACAGTGTGGATCACTTAAATCAGTGTCACTGGATTCACTTCAAAAGTTTGAAGGCTACTTCATACTTGCCACTTTTCTCCATAGGGGTATTCTCTTTATGGGGGGGGGAGAGAGAATCATGTGCATATTACATCATCAAGGGTCATATATTTCACCATTAGCACATGAATATGAGCAGTTTTTACCAGCTATGGTGATTTTTAAACAGGGACCACTTAGCTACAGTAGTCCATGAGGGACCTCCCTTACATTGGGTCTGGAAGCTGAAACTAGTTCAGAATGAGGTGGCATGGCTTGCAATACCAGTGCTGAGGGGAGTGCACTGTCTGATAGCATGCCTCTGGGCCATTTAGAGCTATATAGCACAATGGCAGAAGGTTGCAGAAAGACGGGCAAGAAAACAGGTGTCCTTTTCCTCTTAGTGAAACTTCCCCCACCCTCTGCAAATCCCAGACAACACTACAGGGTTCCTGTTTCAATCTGGTTGAAGTCTTAGACAGAATAACTTTGCATTATAATGCAACATCATGTTGTAACTGTGCCCCACTTATTTTAATTTCTAGTCAATGTGTTTTTGGATAAAAAATGAGGTACTGTTACTCATATATTGATAATGTAATAATCATCATCATCAATCATCATCATCCAATAGGATGTTAAAAACACAATAAAAAATCAATCATTAAAAACTTCCCTAAACAGGCCTGCCTTCAGATGTCTTCTAAAAGTCAGATAGTTATTTATTTCCTTGGCATCTGATGGGAAGGCGTTCCACAGGGCGGGCGCCACTACCGAGAAGGCCCTCTGCTGTGGGTGCCAGCACAAAATGGACAGCAAAAAGGGGGGGGGAGGGGAAGATGCCAGTACTCCATACCAGTGAGTATTAGACTGTCACAGAAAAAGCTCTGCTTACGCTTCACATGCCAGATTTCTTTTGTTGGGTGTACTCGCAACTGATTGCTTTCTCTCTCATTGTATTGATTTTTAGCAGAAAATATGGACATATTTCAGAGCTAGGGTGAAGAATAGCTTAATAATCTAATAAATTTTATTGGCCTGCACTGAGACACGAGACCTAGGAGATAGAAGAATAATTCACATTGCTGGTTGTAAACACAATTTTGTTAAAGTGAGAACTTCCAAAAGTTGGTGTAAAGTGGTCAGGAAACAGGCAGTTGTTGCTGACCATCTGACTGCAGGCAGAATAGCCAGCCAGCTTGTCACCAGGGCAATGAAATACCCAGATTGGGTAACTCTATTAAGGGGTGACTTAATGTAAGAGACGCGGGTGGGACGCGGGTGGCGCTGTGGGTAAAAGCCTCAGCGCCTAGGGCTTGCCGATCGAAAGGTCGGCGGTTCGAATCCCCGCGGCGGGGTGCGCTCCCGTTGTTCTGTCCCAGCGCCTGCCAACCTAGCAGTTCGAAAGCACTCCCGGGTGCAAGTAGATAAATAGGGACCGCTTACTGGCTGGAAGGTAAACGGCGTTTCCGTGTGCTGCGCTGGTGCCGGCTTGCCAGAGCAGCTTCGTCACGCTGGCCACGTGACCCGGAAGTGTCTCCGGACAGCGCTGGCCCCTGGCCTCTTGAGTGAGATGGGCGCACAACCCTAGAGTCTGTCAAGACTGGCCCGGACGGGCAGGGGTACCTTTACCTTTACCTAATGTAAGAGCTGTACTGGATCAGACCAAAGACCCATCCAGTCCAGCATCCTGTTCTCATAATCACCAAGCAGTTGCCTATGGGAAGCCCCCATGCAGACCTGAGTGCAGCAGCACTCTCCCTACTTGTGTTTCTCATCAGCTAGCATTCAGAGGCCCAGTGCCCCAACACTGGAGGTAGAATGTAGCCATCATGGCTAGTAGCCACTTACAGTCTTGTCTTCCATGAATTTGTCTCAATCTCTTGAAAGCCGTCCAAGTTGGCAGCTGTCACTACAACTTCAGATAACAGATAACTTCAGATAGTTACTATGTGCTGTGTGAACAAGTACTTTCTTTAGTCTGTCCTGAATCTTGCGACATTTCACTTCATTGAATGCCCTCAATGGCAAAGCATCTCTCGGTCCACTTCCTCCACACCACGCATAATCTTATATATGTCATCCCCCCCCCTATTATTTTCTTCTAAACTAAAAAGGCCCAAACATTGCAACCTTTCCTCTTGGAGTAGTTGCTCCAACCTCTTGATCTTTTTGGCTGCCCTTTTCTGAACTTTTCCCCCAGCTCTTCAGTATCCTTTTTGAGCTGAGGTGACCAGTCTTATGACTGCAGGCTGTGCAGGTCAGTCTCATATTCACCTCTTCCCCCCTCCCAATTTCCAACTAATCTTCAAAGCAGGCTGATTTTCCCCAAGCCTCTGACCCTTTAAGGCGACTCTCTGAAGCCAGTTTGGCACACACACAAGCATTTTGCACATACACACACAGGCTGAGAGCTTCAATGGCACCCCTCTGGTGGCTTCACCTGGGGCAAAAACCACCGCTGTGGCACTGCTGAAGGGGTTTGCCGGAGACTAGCACTCCTTACTCTCAACCTAAAATCCTTCAGTGATGAAAAAGCACCACTAAAGGCCAGGAGCTCCTTTAGTTTGCTCAGCTCTCCTGCCAAACCACAGAAAGCTCCAGCCAGTCTACAATTGTGGGCAACTGAGAGATGCTGCTAATACTAGGCGTAGTGTAATCACGGAAGCAAATTGTTTCCAGCCTAGTTGAAAACCCAGCTGATAAGTTTCTAAAATTTTGTACACTATAATTTCCATATATCTATTTCCAGCATAGGAGGAAAATACCCTGCTGATTTAACGGGGGTCAAAGCAGCCTGGATAGAGACTTAATACTTTGCTATGTTCCAGAATATAGTTGTTATTTGCAGATAGGGTTGGATTGCCCCAAGACAGAGTCAGCTGGCAATGTTCAGGCCACCTCACATTTCCTGGAGGCTGTAGGAGGCAAAGTGTCATCACAGCAATGCCTCTGCGGGCATATCTGCCAGACTGATTTGAACACCTGGCATGATGGCTCTTCCAGCGGCACTAATCAAAAAATTAGAAAATCTATCTAGAGGAGTAGGAGTAACATTATGGAGTGTTCTGCCTGTTCTTATCTACAAATTAAGCTTTGTTCAAATCTAGGAGGCCCTAAATGGCAATAATTCCAATATGTGGTCCATTTTATGTTTAACAGAAATATTTTAATTGAAGCCAAAAAGATGTATTATAATGTACACTTGGGCTGCAATTTGTGCATACCCATGATATACAGTGGTGCCGCGCAAGACAAATGCCTCGCAAGTCGAAAAACTCGCTAGACGAAAGGGTTTTCCGTTTTTTGAGTCGTTCCGCAAGACGAATTTCCCTATGGGCTTGCTTCGCAAGACAAAACGTCTTGCGAGTTTGTTTCCTTTTTCTTAAAGCCGCTAAGCCGTTAATAGCCGCTAAGCCATTAATAGCCGTTAATAGCCGCTAAGCCGCTAATAGCCGTGCTTCGCAAGACGAAAAAACCGCAAGACGAAGAGACTCGCGGAACGGATTAATTTCGTCTTGCGAGGCACCACTGTACACACATGATATATACACAATTCTGTAGCAAAATCCATTGTATATGTTAATAGCTGTTGATAGGATACCAGTCTTGGTCCAACTGACTAGACATTGCCCAATTAGTTCCACATATCCAGAGGGGATTTGGACTGAGTTTTCTCCACTACCACCACAACCCCACATATACTACAAAGCAAACTGCTTTTAGAATACTGTGGAGTTTCAGAAGTACTTCATGAAATAGTACAGGGAACAGTTGTTGAAAAAGCAAATATTGAAAGTGACAATTATATTGATTTTGTTTGTTCCAAAGCAGCTACAATACAGTGTATTGCTAACTCTCAAAGAATATGAATATGAATTAAAGGATAGTTGTTACCAGTAAATATCAAGTCAAACGTGCTTTCTAAAATAATAAAATAGGTTGGGATTGGGAAGTCCCAGCCATGAAAAAAATAAATTGCTAATACTCCCAGTATCTCCCAATTAGAACAGTGGTCTTTTGTGTGTGTGAGAGGAAAAAATGTAATAATTACAATGTATCAGAAAACAGTAATCAGATTTTCAACTAGTTTCTTGCCGACTTCTTGGAAACAGTTTCAATCTAAAAGGGAAGAAAGATAAGATAAGGAAATATGGCTCCAGATTTTCCCAGTCCTCAAGAGTTTCTAAGCTTACATTTCAGAAAAAGTCCAGAAACTGGACTTTTGAGGAGCTTGTTGCAGTTCTTCATACATTTTCTATAGTGATTAGTTATCTTTTCGCAGCATGAATTAGGAATGCTGTGTTTAAATTAATAACATCTGAATGTACTTTCTCAAGGAGCATTCACCCCCTGGGAATTGTTCAACATGACCTTCTGTCCTCTTGTGAACTGTTTCCTATGCTGAGATAGAAAATGGCACAAAAGCTGGCATCCAATTCTTATACCATGTGAAAGATGATATGTTATCTTTATTTAATAAGTTTGCAATTTGGCAGTGGTTCTTACATTCCACTAGATTTGCATCATTCAGGCAGCCCAGAGAGAACAAAACCAAGAAAGAATGTGTTACCTAAGGCAAGTTATGTATGGAAGCAAACTAGCTATTGTTAATAGTCCATAAATTAGAAATGCATGCAACTAAGATATTTTGTATGCAGTGTAAATTCAGTACAGTAGAGCAAAGCTATATGGAAGCCTTTTAAGCTGGATATTTAGGCATCTTTGTAGGCATACTATAGATATTCTTGAGCAATTGGTGGGAAAGCAGAGAGGCAGAAGTTGTAACGATGGGTATCACATATTTATTTGAAAATAAGAACTGTGAAGTTTGTGCCTTAAATAAGTTTCTATTTTTGTGTCTTCTCCAGCCTGTGCCCCACATTTATCATTCCAAATTTACTTCTTCCTCCCATGTCTAAAATAAATTCTAAAATTCAATGTTACTGCCCACTTTCAAGTAAGCTTCTACTTATGGTATTAAGCTTACTCTTCTTTCTGAGCTGTTTTTAAAATTTGGAGTCCTAGCATACTTATTTTAGTGTTCATGTTGGCATTGCAAATAAGTCCACAGATGTTAGTAGCTGACTAAGAGGCTAGTGTCCTGAATGTCCATTCAGGCAGCAAAGGAGAGAAGGCACCCCGCTCCTCCTTTGTGGCCTGCATGGAAATACAACAGCAGCAGCAACATCTTCTTCCAAGCTGACTGAAGGTATCAAGCCACCCCATTCCTTCTCCACATGCTTACTTAGTTTCCATGTTGGTTGCAGAAGAAGGGCTTGTTCTTCCTCCATGACCAATTCAGAAACAAAGTGAGCTGGCAGAGGAGAGAGAGTGCCACCTGTTGCTTATCTACATGCCCTGCTCACTTGCCAGCATGGAATTTCATTCGCTCACTGGCAGTGACTTCCTGGTCACCTATGTCTATCAGTTGTTAGATATGAAGTTGTCTTATAGACCTTCAAAAACTTGGAAGAATTGTATTGGTGCTGCCCGATCTAGAATTATTGAATTTAAAAATTGGTGCTGGGAGGAAAGTGATCTATCTCTCAGCTGCAGGGATGCTAAAGCTACAGTTCTAAGCACGCGTACTGGTGAGTAAGTCCCACTGAATATTCATATTATTATATCCTTTTTTATTCATTTACATCCTACCCTTCCTTCCAAAGAAGCCCAGGGCAGCAAACATACTAATCATATTAATCTTAAAACAGTTTTAAAACATTCTAAAAACAGTTTTAAAAGAGTTATATGCTAGTATTAAGAGCAATTTGGCCTGGTAGCTCACTGGCAGCCAATGCAGTGCTTTCAGGACAAGTGGTCCTATCAGCTGCACTACTTACTTACTAGCCCTAGTAGCTGCTGCATCCTGCACTAATTGCTCTCTGGTGCTCTTCAAGGGCTGCTCCACACACAGCACATTACAGTAGTCCAGATGGGAGGGCAGCAGTGCATGGACAACTGAGGCCAGGCCATCCTGATCTAGGAACGGTCAAAGCTGGCAAATCAGCCTTAGCTGAACATAAGCGCTCTTAACCACAGAAGCCACTCTAGGGATAAGTCAGAATCCAAAAGTCCTTCCAGACTACAAACCCTTCCAAAGGAGTGCAACCCCTCCCAGGTCATGTCATACCCCTAATTTCTGGGTATGGGAACCACCCATTCACAGCACTAATAGATTATCAGGTCTCAGCCTCAGTTGATTAGCCCCAATCCAGCCCTTCTCTGCCTCTAAACACTGGTCCAACACTCACCTCAGAGTATTTGTTGTGGGGGAAGAAGGGAGATTGTTAGCCGCTTTGAGACTCCTTAGGGTAGTGATAAAGCGGGATATCAAATCCAAACTCTTATTCTTCTTCACAGCTTTCCATGGCTTTCCATATGTTATTGGACTCCAGTCACATCAGCCCCAGTCAGCATTGCCAATGGGTGATGGGAGTTGTATTCCAGCAACATCTAAGGGTCACTGGTTCCCCATGTAGCAACAAACGATGTCTTGCCATGATATTGGAAGGAAGGGAGAGTTTGGGGAGGAGGGGATCGTGCAAGCCCAAGGTCCACTCATTTAGCTCTAAACTATAATTTTGTAGGGACGCAGGTGGCGCTGTGGGTAAAAGCCTCAGCGCCTAGGGCTTGCCGATCGAAAGGTTGGCGGTTCGAATCCCCGCGGCGGGGTGCGCTCCCGTCGTTCGGTCCCAGCGCCTGCCAACCTAGCAGTTCGAAAGCACCCCTGGTGCAAGTAGATAAATAGGGACCGCATACAAGCGGGAAGGTAAACGGCGTTTCCGTGTGCGGCTCTGGCTCGCCAGAGCAGCGATGTCACGCTGGTCACGTGACCCAGAAGTGTCTCCGGACAGCGCAGGCCCCCAGCCTCTTGAGTGAGATGGGCGCACAACCCTAGAGTCCGTCAAGACTGGCCCGTACGGGCAGGGGTACCTTTACCTTTACCTTATAATTTTGTGTTATATCTGAACGAGCCTTTAGTGGGAAGAACATAGAAGGGCATTCTCTATAGCACCTATTTATTTAACATAGGCTTCATTTGAACTTTAAATTTTTATTAATTTTCCTAGACTTCTTAACCAGAAATAGCATGCATTCATAAAGGCATTGCTATGTATAGGATTAACTTTCCAAAATTAATATTTAAATGGAAAAACACGTTTGACATGTACACACATACCCAGTATTTATGAAGCTGGGAAATGCTGTGTATCTGGAATCAGAGATTTTCAGACAGACTGTTTTCTTATGGATTCTCTTGAAACAAATCTTCTTTTGTCCCAGATAATATATTTTGTAGTTTTCCTTTACTAGCTTGAAAATAATGTATAATAATTTTCTCATAATATAGATGCTAATAAAGATTTTCAATACTGGCATACAGTTCATGTTTTCTATTAAAAATGTTTTTAAAAATCAGCTTACAGTGGAAGGCTTCAGGAATATTGCTGACAGCTGCAGTGGTATCAAACACTTGATCATTAATGAAATGCCCACTCTATCAGACAGATGTATTCAGGTAAGAAACTGAAATGCTCATATATTTGTTCTGTAAACATATATTCTGTTAATTTCCAGACATGAAAAATATGGCATTTTACAGCAAAACTAAAGAAAACTATTCTAGAAGTTAGCTTAGCTCTATCTTGGTTTTGTTCCCAGTCAGATTAAAAAACAATAGAAGCCACAATGGCTTTTTACTGGTGAAGTAACAGTATTCTTCTGTTGGGATGGCCCCACAACTGAGCAGTCCCACAAGTGGCATATTATATCGGGACTCTGCACCTACCACCTGGAAAAGAATGAAGCATCTGAAGATCAGGTTCCTCTTCCCTCCACTAGAATGCTGTGTGCCATGTAGTGCAGGCGATACAGTCTAATTTTCCTCCTGAAAGAAAGGAAAATTCCCATTCCCCATTCCCTTTTTTTGCCAGGCAGTAGATACCATGAGAGAGTTTACTCTTTGAAATCACTCTTCCACCCCTGCTTCATTTGGCTGGGAAGAAGATCCTTTACATAGGATGACTGCACTGCTTACTTCTTTTTTGGGAGCCATTCATGAAATAAACGGATAAAGCTCTCTACCTCCATTTTCACTTTACACAGGGGATTTCCGTATTGTTACAGGCCCCCTCAATCCTAACCAAGCCACGCACAGGATTGTGGGGGTCTTTGCCCTCAACCAGGATCTGTGCTTTGGAGCACTGAAGACACAGTGGAGGCTGTCGTAGCTTTAAGAAATATGTTTTATTCACATACTTACACCTGAATTTAGATGGAGGGAGTCCAGATCTTACAGCATGGTCATCTCAAGAAGGGCTTATTCCCTGCACCAGTGCAGCACTGGAGTCCAAGGCATCTTTCCCAGCCTGCCTTCAGCCAGCCTGCCCAAGATGGACCTCTCTCTTTTTTCTCTCCCTTCTTCTCTCTAGTACACCTTGCTAAAGACACTCTTTTCCTGCCACCTGCCACACTAACCCATTGACTTTGGCAGTCTCTTTTTAGACTCTTCTTCTTAGATGGGCCATCAACCCCTTTTTTCATGATAGCGGCTTGGCTTATCCCTGGCTAGCTATGTGAAGCTGCCTCAGCTTGTGATCCTAAACTGAATGCAACAGCCCTTGGTTTAGTTTTAATTAATCAAACTTTGCTTCATTAATTTATAAGCTTGATCAAATTCTAGCTCTTTACTGAATCTTTCCCCCATACTCATAACAATATTATTTTACTTATTTTTATTTAGGAATGAATTTGGATAGCGATATTTGACATCTGAATGATATGAGATTATGGTATATTGTATGAGTCCAATCCCCCAGTAATCCATAACAGCTAATAACCTATTACTGTACTGTACATATTTAAACAGAAGATGATTTCAGATGAATTTACCTACAATCCAATTTGAATCAGATTGTTAAGCACTCAGTAATGCAATATATATATAAAAAACTAACGGGTGTGTCATTTTTATCAAACGTTTAACTTTATGCAGAGATATGTTTCGATTTTGCAGCAGTAGTCTAACAGTAGCTACTAAGAACAATATCAGAATTGATGTGCCATTTTTACTTCTTCAGTTATTAGTATTCAGTTGGATATGAGAGGATAGAAACTCCAGCATTTGTTATGATAAAATGTATATTTTTCACATAAAATACAATGCATTTGAAACCTGTGTATTTTCTCTTAAAGGCTTTAGCTGAAAAATGCCATCAGATTGTGTCTGTTGAATTTAATGAATCCCCACATGTTTCTGATGCAGCTTTTAAAGCACTTGCTAAATGTAAACTTGTCAAGATGAAAATACAAGGTTAGTAATGACATAGTATAATAGTTCCTGCAAAATAGTTGTATGTGCTACATTTTTACCATGGCGTTGGCTCTTTGACATAAATAGACGTGTGCATAAGTAGACATGCTTTTTGTGACTGAAAAAGCTATTGACTTCAGGCCAAATGTAACCTAATTGTTGTTTTGTGATTTCAATAGGGAGTAATCAGATTACTGACCTAACTTTCAAACTCATAAGCAAATCCTGGCCTCATATGAAACACATTTGTGTGACTGACTGCCAGAAGATAACAGATTTGAGTCTCAAGATGATTGCACCGCTGCCTGATATTGTTGTACTGAAATTATCAGATTGTATAAGGTATTCCGTTACATTCAAATGACTGTGTGGGTTATTCATTTTAACAAAATTGCAAATTAGCAAAAAAATGTGTTAGCCTCCATGCACACAGAACAGAGAAAAGGTCTGTGCCCCACTGTAACACCACAATATGCTAGACCAGGGGTTGGCAAGGTTTACCTCGCCTGGGCCAGTTCACTCCAGCGGAGATCCCTCCGTGGGCTGGATTGTGCCCGCGATTTCCGGCGTCTGCGCAGACACGATTTCCGGCACCACAGAAGCAAGTCCCCGCTCTGCACTGCGCCGGTTTAGTGCAGCACGCGGGGACTCACCGAGTGGGTGGCTCAGTTCGGGGGCGGCTCGTGGGTCGGTTAAACAACCCCCATGGGCCACTTGTGGCCCATGGGCCTTAGGTTGCCTACCCCTGTGCTAGACCAACCAGCACATTATATTTGTAGAACAGGACATCAACAGCTTCCTTCCCCAGATGTAGTGCAGCAACAGTGATAAAATGTAGACTGCAACAGAGGACATGGCAGAGACAACAAGACTGGGGGTGGTGTGGGCAAGTGTCTACCAGTTAAATGCATTACAGGACCACTCTAGTAAAAGCATCATAAAGCTACCCATTTGAGTGAGACAACAAGAACCACTTATTTTTGTGTAGTCCTACTGAAGTTAGTGGACTACTGTTCAGTAAATTATTTCAATTTAGTGGGTGACATTCCATACATGGGACGCGGGTGGCACTGTGGGTTAAACCACAGAGCCTAGGACTTGCCGATCAGAAGGTCGGTGGTTCGAATCCCCGCGATGGGATGAGCTCCCGTTGCTCGGTCCCTGCTCCTGCCAACCTAGCAGTTTGAAAGCACGTCAAAGTGCAATTAGATAAATAGGTACCACTCCGGTGGGAAGGTAAACGGCATTTCCATGCGCTGCTCTGGTTCGCCAGAAGCAGCTTAGTCATGCTGGCCACATGACCCGGAAGCTGTACGCCGGCTCCCTCAGCCAATAAAGCGAGATGAGCGCCACAACCCCAGAGTCGGCCACGACTGGACCTAATGGTCAGGGGTCCCTTTACCTTTACCTTATTACATACATACCATCCTTGTGTTTGCAATAGAAACCTACTTGTGCAGTGGGATTTTGGGATTCTCTTCTCTCTTTCAGTCTCCTGTGTGCTTCTGACCATATGGAGTGGAGGGACTGCGGGAGGCAGTGGGGAGGAAATGGAAGTCCTGTTGAATGAACAGATTACTGCTCGCACTATCTTGACTCTCACCCACAGTGAGAGTCATAGGTGTTAACTCCCCGGAGCCTGGGTGCCTGAGCACCCACAACATTTGGTGCCAGGGCCATGCATGCTGCATGGCACCCATGACCCCAGGCACCCATGGTCATGGAGCCAAGTTGGCACTCCTGGTGAGGGTCAAGTTTTGGAAGTAAGCCCAATTCATTTTAATAAGACTTCCTTCTCAGAGAACATGATTCATTCAGGCTGGTGCCATTTAGCTACCAGATGGAAACAGGTTTCCAACTAATCTCATTGTTTAGTTTGTAGTTCTGAAAAAAACCTAGCATTGTAGCACCCACTTTTGTAATAGATGCAGAGACAAATATTGACTGCTGTATAGTTTAGTTATAGATGATCTTGCATTCAGATGCTAGTTTTTAGGACACGATTAGAATTGTGACATATATCAGATAACTTATTTTCTATTTGTTTTAGAGTCAGTGATGGAGGACTAAAAGCATTTACTGATGGTGCTTCAGGCTCAAATATACGAGAACTCAGCTTGGCCAATTGTTCCTATATCACTGACAGTGCTATCACAAAAATAGCCCACAGGTACTATAATGCCATATATATTATTTGTTTGGTGAAACATAACAGATACGTTTCAGGAATGTTGCTTCAAAATTCTTGTTAAAATCAATCTTGTTTCTGTTATCTAGCTTAAGAAAAGATGTTGTGCATAGTGCATTCAGCAAAGTGAGTTGTTGTGACTAAGCCCTGTTGAAATCAATGGAATTCACAGCTCAGCTGTAATGTTTTAGGAGTCATTTCAATGGAGCTTCTTAAGAACTGTTCATAGAATTTAGTTTGGAATCCAATAATCACCTGTGAATAAGCCCCATTGAACTCAGCGACTCTTACTTCTGAATAGACAAGCACAGGACTATAAATAATTTAACCGTGAATGACATACCCATTAATGTCTCAGCTATTTTTTTTCCTGTTTTGTCACTTTTTGTAAAACTGACAACTTAAAAATGATTCATAGGATTCAATATTCAAAATTTCTGATATTCTACAAGTGTTTAGAAAATTATTTTTCTTCCCTAATACCTGTAGATAATTTTATTTATTGCTGGTTTTTATATGGCTATGTGTGTGTACCTATATTTATGCATAATTTGTTTTTCGTTATAATTATCAGATAATCAAAACACAGCAGTTTTGGTTTTTGGATCCAAAAGGCCATATAGGTTCTATGTATCAAATAGGCTTTGGGCTTATGTTCTTTGAGTATACATGGCAAACTACTTTTGAAACTCTGAGAACGTCTCAAAACAGTTGAAAGGGCAGGTGGGGTGGGACTGGGGGTTGTTACTCAAAGGGAAAAGGGAAAAATTCCACTGGGTATATGCAAGTCCCAGGCACACCTGAAGTTGCTTCTTTACAATCAGTGTCTGTGTTCTAGTACCTAATAATAATGACAATTTCCATTTATTGAAAAAGGATCTACTTACTGGTCTCCTTTGGCTAATTTGTTCATGCGAATGTTCCATATTTTATTCTGAAGCTAAGATGCCTGACATGGATAAAACTGTCAAAAGAGGAGATGAGAAAACCTTGAAAAAACATTTTACATGTTTTTAAAATACTGAACAGGAATAGTGAGGCAGGCTACTATACAGCCTAACACTGAAGTGCCCAATAACTAATTTAAAACAATATTTATAGGATGGTCTTAGTTAGTATCTTAGGGTATCCTGTTTTGTGAGCAGGCAAATGAACATTTTTATTGTAATTTTGGAAGTATCCTATGAAAACCTAAGCCAAAAGTTGCACAGGTATGGCATAATAAGAAAAGAAATAACAAGATCTATTGTTTTTTAAGGTGCCACAATCTGATTTATCTGAATCTGCGTTATTGCCAATCTGTGACTGATGCTGGAATTGATGCTTTAACACAGATCTCCTCACTTGCATATCTTAATATTTCTGGAATTAATGTCACAGACCAGGTAAAAATGAAAACACAAAGGCATGGCAACGTGTTCCTGTATGCTCTTAGTATTGCTGTGCCAGCACTTTCTGTGAGTCACAGTGATATTTCTGTATTATTCTCAATTCCTTTTCTTAATTCTTAACATCCTCTTTGCCTTTTGGTCACTGTAGCACATTGGAAGGAACAAGAAATAGAACAGCATTCAAAAATAAGGGATTACAGCAAGATATGAGCTAAATAGGATAAACTGTAAAGTTTGTGGGTTGGGTCATTGAAACATGAGATAACTGGAAAAATTGTTTTTTATTAATCTAATAATGTTCATGCTAAGGTTCTTCAGTTAACACAACCGATCTCTCTTACATGTTCACTGTTGACTTATAAAGGTTTGAGACCAAGTATTCACAGCAGTAGCAAAACAGAGTCTCTTTGGAGTGCAAGGCATGGAAGATCATGGAACTAAGACTAGTTCATGACTTACAGTATTGAAATATTGATATCTGTTACCCCAGAGGCTTAATACAGCCATTTTAAAGCTTATAAGTGTTCGAAGAAACTATTGAAAGTACAGATAGCAGCATATGGTGACAAAGAAGTACAGTCACTGGCTAAACTAGATGTGATGTTATTTGTATGAATGCAACAATGTGAACATATTTTAAAATATAGATTACAGTCATGCGGTGTCCTGAGTAGCATTGGGACGGTAGGAGGTCGGTGTTTTCTCCTCCTCCTGTGAAACACCCTCCCTTTCGAAATTGCTATTTGCATTCAGAGGGGAGTTTCTTTTTGTCGTCCCCCACCACCTGAGGGTCTGATGTACACCAGGCTATTTACATTTAAAAAACCATATATGTTAACTGGAATATATGGGAAACCATGTTCAATTGTCTTAACAAAGTTGATAAAATGATACCATGTCGTATAGAAGGGGTAAGTCCAGGGGCGTAGCTAGATGCTCCGGCACCCTTTTGGTGAAATGGCTACTTTGTCCATAAGCATGTTGCCCCATACTTGCAAAATCCAGGCTTCAAAAAGATTTGCATTTAAAGTTTTCTTTCCCCCGCTTTTTGCAATCACAGATTTAGTTGCAGTTAATAAATGGAGGGTGTGATTCATTCTAGTGTTATGTGCAAACCAGCACTTGGGATTGGTCTCTTCCCAGACAAACCTTGAGCAGTGAGCCAAGAACAAATCTGTTCAATCATAGTAAGCCACAAACCATGCCTTATTGTGATGTATGAACCAGCTCAATGAAGCACTTTATCTGTCTGTCTATCTCTATATCATCCATCTATCTATCTATCTATCTATCTATCTATCTATCTATATATCTATCATCTATCTATCTATCTATCTATCTATCTATCATCTATCTATCTATCATCTATCTATATCTATCTATATCTATCTATCATCTATCTATCTATCTATCTATCTATCATCTATCTATCTATCTATCATCTATCTATATCTATCTATATCTATCTATCATCTATCTATCTATCTATCTATCATCTATCTATCTATCTATCTATCTATCTATCTATCTATCTATCTATCATCTTCTGTGTTTTTAGAACAAGTCTGTTTTACTTTTAAAATGTAAATTCAGCCATTTTTGTTAGTTTTCTCTTTCCCTTGTGGAAGATGGAAAGCTGCATTGCATTTAGGGTGTCTTTTTATACCTGTCGTGCAAAGGTCATGTAAGCTCTATTCTAACATTCTTGTGTCTTAAGTTTTTCATTAAAATGGATGTAAGGATGTTTGATCTTTCTAGTGGCAAGCATGCTTCAGTTCAGAAAGATATCGTCCTGAGGGCTCTGGGAGCATAAACATCTAAAAATAAGTTTTGGGAAAAATACATCCTACATACTAATAACTTTCTAGCATACTTTGTTGGCTTAAACAAGAAGCAATGTTTATAATTTGAATAATATGCAACATATGAGATACTAAAGATAAGAAATATTCTTGCTATGTGGAAATTAATATTTTGCCGCGACCCTTTTTCTTGAAAAAATAACCGTACTACATTTATTCAGTGTTTACCACACTTTTATTTTGGCTTATAATCAAAGACACAGTCAAATACAAGAACTGATACATTACTAAAAGCAAAGAGCTCAGAGTGGATGTAATTGTTACAGTGGAGGTTGTATATTTTAACACAATCATATCGCAATATTGTTTGCCTTTGGAAAAATTAATTATCCAACCGTATTCAAAATCTACCCTTCCCCTAATCATTTTCAACTGGCTAGTCTTCCAACACTGCTGACCTATTTCTTTTTCATATGTCTTTTAAAAAATTCTTAACAATATACAGTATTTAGGAACAGACTTGTCAAGATGGCCCTGCCAAAGATCCCAAGGATTCTCAGAATCTCTTATCTTCAGAGGCACTCTGATAGGACCCTTGCTTGTAAAGTTTGGTTGCCCTATTTCATCACAGGATTTTTTAATATTTATATTATACATTCTCCAGGACAGTAGGACATCCCCAAGTGGAATATTAAGTTCCCCCCATTTCGCAAAGCAGGAAAATGTCACCACTCCAATGGAATCTGTTTGCCCCCTCTCTTGGAGTGACAGTTCATTTTTCCTGCCTAGTTTGACATAGTATTACATTAGCCCAGCTCTTGCGATCTGCATTCTAGCCAATAATTTCATTAATTTCCTTCTATCATATTTTCAATTACCTTTGTGCACTGTGTGACTGTTGAAGTGATTGCCTGAGAGTGTCATTTTAATTATTTACTTCAAACCATTTATTTGGAGTGTGTGTGAAACTATACATTTTCTTCCTGACTGTGGCTTTAATTTCCTTTCTGAGTTGAGAGAAATCGTAGTGGTCAGTATTTTTAACCTGAATGCCCTATCTTTAGGCATCTAAACTTGTACTGCTGTATCAAAACATAGGGATTGACGTCCAGATGTACTGAACACGTAAGCTTTCCTTTGATCTTATATCCTGTGAAAAACTGAGCTGCTAATTTTAATAAAGCACAACATCTGAATCAAATTTGGAGACTCATTGTTGCCTAAGGCAGGGGTCTGCAACCTTTAAGACAAAAAGAGCCACTTGGACCCATTTCCGAAGGAAAAAAACCTGGGAGCCGCAAAACTCGTCATTATAAAAATAACTTTTTTGTCACTTTTTTATTATTTCTTTGTTTGACCCCTCACAATTACTCCTCCTCATAGAAATAAACGTTAAATTAACAAGTTACCTTTTTGTGTGTGTGTGTTCTTCGCTCCCCTTCAAAACAGTGACCAGCGTACATGCCCCCTTTCAATGCAGTGACCAGCATACATGCCCCTTACAATGTAGCGGGCGGGCGGGCGGGAAGGTGACGTCGGGACGGTGCGTGACTAACGCACGCACCGCCCCCATGCGACGTCACAGCCAGTACAGCGCCCGCCACAGTGGGGAGTATCGGGGCCCACAATGTGCCTCCTCCCCTCGTTAGTATCTGCCCCGGAGCCGTAGCAAAGGTGTAAAAGAGCCACATGCGGCTCCGGAGCTGCAGGTTTCAGACCCCTGGCCTAAGGCAATAAAGATATGTAATACAAGTAAGGGGACTCACATAGCCTTGTGGGACATATTTTGGAGAAGAAAAGCCTAAGAAGGAAACCCTACACAAATTTGGAGTAGAGTCCCTAAGATGGTTGTATGGGTCCTTGGACCCCTTCTTCTGGCAACTCCTGCAGCCAAGCTGGTGCCAAATGTATTACTCGGCTTTCCTTTGGACCACATCAACGAGGCAGGGTGTGTCTTATCACCTGGGCATCCCAGAACCTCCATATACACTGCCCAGGCTTGCACCCCAGGGTGCTGCTAATGCACCCTGGAGGCGCACTCCATTGTCTCTCAAGACAAATGGATGCCAACAACAAGTGTGAATTGTGAGACTTGTCTTTCTTCCAGATCTGCTTCCTCTCCACATGCCAGTCATTTCATTTATGTTTTCTAATTTAAAAGGCAGGACCAAGCTTGTTCTTTTGGTTAAAGAGAAAATACCATATTGACTTTTAAATCACCTGAAGACTGGTTATTGAAAAGCACATAAAACACAGTAGATCCTTAAGCAAAGTGTAATGTTTGAGGAGGAGTAATATTCAGTACCGTAAGCGTTAGAAGGTGTCCCTAATGTCATTTGTGGCATGCTGGAGGGTACGCTTATCTCAGACATACAGTAAACCTAACTGTAAGGGTGGCTGAGTTTTTATCAATAGTATCTCTTAGAGTGGTGAATGGCACTGTTTAGCAGGAAGAAACTTGAATGAAAATCCTCGCTATTACATATATTTACATGGCTGTTTATTTGTATATATTTTGAAATTTTATATAGGGATGTTTTATGATGGCCTATATTTGTAATGCCTAATAAAGGTTTGGCATAGTGGAAGTAAACAGTAAACCAGTACAGATTTGGCATTGGCCTTTTTAGTGGAGAATGCATAAATTCTTTTACTCTCTCCACACTCCCAAATGAAGTCCAAGGATTCCTTTGACATAAGGCTATTTGCCCTGTATCCCAAATGATTTAGTCAAGGTTTAATAGTTATGTATTCTACAGAAGTTGGTAGTAAGTAGGGAGTCCTTATCCAGTGTGTGTGTGTGTGTGTGTGTGTGTGTGTGTGTTTTTATGGATTGAATTATGAAAACAGGCTGTTTCCTTCTGCTTTTTCATTCATACTTTGTTTCCTTCAAACATGAAAAGCTGTCAAAAGACCTTTTATTATGCTGTAAAATTTTACACATATACCATGAACATATCCTACTTTTTCCACGTAATAATGTTATTAACATGCACTACATTTTGTTCTTTCAGCTAACCATTTCATGAGCATTTTCACAACACGTTTTTCTCTCTTGGTTGGATTCAAGGAATTAGTACAAAAGCAATACGCTTGCTTATTTACAGATGTGAGTGGGTGTTTACAGATATACTTGGAATTCACAATTTAACTCGCTGATAATGCAGTAGCTTCCTCTCTGTTGAAGATAAGTGTCACAGAAATTGTAGCAGGAGTTCAGAGACATAGGCGTCCCTTGAAAAACCCACTTTTCCCCTTTACAAACTAGCGCCTTTCCCTTCTATGAGAAGTGAGGCTACAGGGAACCAGACAGAGGGCCTTCTCGGTAGTGGTGCCCGCCCTGTGGAACGCCCTCCCATCAGATGTCAAAGAGATAAACAACTACCTGACATTAGCAGCCCTGTTCAGGGAAGTTTTTAATATGTAACGCTGTATTGTTTTTAACACTTGATTGGAAGCCGCCCAGAGTGGCTGGGGAAACTCAGCCAGATGTGCGGGGTATAAATAATAAATTATTATTATTATTATTATTATTATTATTATTATTATTATTATTATTATTATTCTACAGCAACCTCTTCCTTGCAATAGTGAGCGCCTTGCAGAGCCATGCAGAGACCTAATTCAGTGCCTCCCATCAGGCCCACGCCAGGGAGATTAATGGGTTCTGCTGTCAATTGAGGGCATGCACCATGCACTTGTCTTACACACACACTGCCTGGAAAGGATAACTTCATAACTATGTTTTGTGAATGGAAAACCATGTTTTATGAATGAAACTCATGTCAAATGATACAGTGAACCAGAAGGTGGGCAGGAGAGTAGTGTTTTGCTCATATTTCACCCCAGCAGCCACCTCCGAAGTCAGTAGCCAGGAAAGTTGGAAACTACTCAGCGGGCTATGAATGTGTCAGGGGGTTCCTTGTCAGTAGAAGACAGGAACTGCCAAGCAGCGGAATTGGAGCAAGACCAAGAAGAATATATCTGGGAGGGAGAAGGAGATGGGTAGTTAAAATGGCTGAAGAGGTAAATAAAATGTGTCTGAATATGAATGGCAGGCAATTCACAAAGTATCATGCTAGACAAGTTTGGGAACTATGTAACCATGCAGAGAGGCGTAGCAAGGTCAGGTGGTACCTGGTGCAGAATTTTTTTTGTCAATCCCCCATTTGAAATTATTAAAAGAAGGAAAAATAAGATACTTACAGTTGCAAGTGTTATTTTCTGGTTTATTTACTTAACATTGTGAGCGTAAGCACTTGAAAACCCCTGCAAACTCTGTGGCTTCAATATCAGCCAGAAACAAATTTCTTCTAACCCACCACCCCATTGCTCTGTTCACTGGCCTGATGGTAGAACTTGAACCTTGCACTCTATTTTGCAATAGGTGGGCCTAATAATGGAATTGCCCTAATAAGGATGTGTGTTTTCCTTACGATTCGGTGCAGCTCCCTTTACTTTTACAATGCCATTTAAAACAGGTGGCTAATCTGTGTCCCTCCAGGTTTTGCTGGACTACAACTCCCATCATTCCTATTGGCCATACTAGCTGGGACCAGTGGGGGACGTAGTCCAGCAACATCTGGAGGGACACAGGCTAGCCCCCCAGCCCCCTGTTTTAAAGCTGACCGTGTAATGCACCATATAAGAAGCACAAATCCCTTTCAAGGGGCCATTGCGTGGACAGGCGGAGTCCCCAGATCCCAAGCGGTCCCCCTGTCATGTGAATAATGACTCAAGACAATGTGCTATGGGATTAAATTGGCCACAACTTTATTAAATTTCAAATGTGGGTAGACCTTGGCTCAGGCATTGGGCGTTCGCCCAAGCTCTGGAGCCAAGTGAGGATTCCCAGGTAAGATCCTCCCTCTGTGTGGGCAGGTGATCCCTCCCCTACCTGGCCTGATCTCCTTGGCACGCTTCCCCCAGGTGGGATTGGAACTGACTGGGGTAGGTAGAGACCTCCAAGTATCCCACCTGAGGGAAGGCGAAAGCCACCGTATGCTGATGGAGCCGCTCCAGATCCAGGGGCTGCGCACGTCCATGCAAAGGGCGCCCCCCGTTTTATGCGGGGAGCGGTCGTTTTCCTCTCCTCCTCCTCGTGTTTTTTCTCAGTATCTGCCCTGAACAACTCTGCAACTCAAACGCTTGCTCATTCTTTTGAGACATTTGAGTTAGTCCTAATAAAGTATTGTTCAACTTCAACTATTGGGCTGTTGCTGTTGTTGTTTTAATTAAACGGACCATTTCAAAAAGAAACGGATGTTCTTAGGCTGCAGTTCTACACCTGCTTTCCTGGGATGAATTCCCATGGAACTCAGTGCAGCTTACTTCTAAGTAGACATGCAAAGGAGGGCACAGATGTGTAAGCACCGTCTCAGCAGCTCACTAAACAACGAGAAACAATTTTCATACTAACGTGAATATATTCTTATATTAATTCTCTCCTGAAATGGTGATGTATGGATCTTACCTTGTGTTTCTTTGGGGTGCTAGGAGGCACTGATGTATCTCTTGGCTGAATCAAGCTGAGAATGCATCATCCAGCTTCTGTGTTTGAAAGAAATGCTTGTTTATTATTTTTATTATTAGTTGCTGAATACCTGGCAAACATGGATCGCAATAATCAAATGGACATAGAAAAGCGGGGGGGGGGACGGGACGACATCTTGGTAGCTTTTTTGTAAATATCCCTGCTACGTAAGAATAGCCTTGCCTGATCAAACCAAAGGGTCCTGTTCTCCCCCTCTTGTCCACCTCCAGCTAAGGCAGGGAAAGTGGCGGAGTTAGCTGCATGGGTGCCCGGAGCCCATGGCGTGCACTCAGGGGGGGGGGGAGCTGCTCAGGGGGGCAACATGATCCGCTGCTGTGGCAGGATAATCCGCTGTGCGTGAAGGTGATACAATCTGCCATGCACGGGGACAGCTGGGTGAGCCCCCCGCGGTGTGCCTTTTTCTCACCACCCCCCGGGAAGACACCCAGGATACCCCTACTGTCCCCCCTTCCTACGCCCCTGACCACATATGAACACATTGCTGAACAACAACTCCTATGGTGTTTTGTGATGTTTTCATTTAATAATAATAATAATAATAATAATAATAATAATAATAATAATAATAATTTATTTATACCCCGGCCATCTGGCTGAGTTTCCCCAGCCACTCTGGGCGGCTCCCAATCACATGTTAAAAACAGTACAGCATTAAATATTAAAAACTTCCCTAAACAGGGCTGCCTTCAGATGTCCTCTGAATGTCAGGTAGTTGTTTATTGCTTTGGCATCTGATGGGAGGGCGTTCCACAGGAAGGGCGCCACTACCGAGAAGGCCCTCTGCCTGGTTCCCTGTAACCTCACTTCTTGCAGTGAGGGAACCGCCAGAAGGCCCTCGGAGCTGGACCTCAGTGTCCGGGCAGAACGATGGGGGTGGAGACGCTCCTTCAGGTATACAGGACCGAGGCATTTTGTTTCAACTGGGGCAGTTATAGCAGACTAGGATTATGCACATTGTAGAGGGAAGGACATACTAACAAGTGAGTGCACAAACCCATGGCATGTTCCTAAGTTTCCAGCTATGTTTTGTTTTGGTAAAAGAATACATGTTTTAAAAGGTAATGGGGGGGGACCTACAGCACTGAATAACAGCAAAGCAAAATAAATACATTATGTAGTATAGCAGGTTTTTTACATATGTGTGCCAACAAACTAATATTTGTCTAAAATATTTTTAGGCTATGGATGCTCTTGGCAAACTCTGGAAAATAAAGGAGATTATTATATCAGAATGCAGGCTATTAACTGATACAGGAATTAAGGTAAAATAAGATCCTATGTTATGTATGTTACAAGCATCAGTACATGTATGTCACTCTTGAACACGTCTGATTTACAATGAAATAGTAAATATGCTGAGGTTCTTTCTTAAAACTGTTGAAACATGTTGCCATTAGGAAAATGTGCTCAAGCCATGGCTGCTTTCTTTTAGATGCCAGCATGGGCTGTTTAATTGTCCTTTCAGCTCCAGACCATTATGACCTTTTTATTTTACAACAGTTTTTATATTGCACATTATTGTGTGCTACTTTTATTATTTTCATAGCTTTTAGCTTATGATATATTGTGTATTTACATTTTCATTGTTTTATTCTTTGTGTAAACTGCCCTGGAAATATAATTGAAGGGCTGTAAAACCACTTTACATAAATAAATAGTGGCTTGTGTCGAGTGTTCCAGGAAATTTAAGGATGAGTTGAGATTTGAATTGGCGGTTTCAGTTTCTTAGCTCATTTTGTTAACCACTGCGCTGCTCCCGCTCTGAACTCCTGAGCAAATGTGGGGAAGTGAAGCTACAGTGACTGAGAGTTTTGGAATGTGGAAAGAGATAATATTCACCCCAGGAAAGGAGATTTAACTAGAACATTTTAAGAAGTGAAAAATGTCTCTGCACAGCAACCAATGGCAGTTTTGCCTTTACTTTTTAGCAGGGCTTATTTAAAACAGGATGTGTTTTTGGCAGTGCCTCATGGGATTCTGATAAGGTGGCTGAGACAGAAAACAGATTGTGGATAGAAAACTGCAGCTTTGCAATAAAAATGGTGTCCCATCCTTTGTGTCTGGTGTATGCTAAAAAGAGAGAGAAAGGACTGAGGACAGATTCCTGGGGGGAACTCAGCAGAAGGAAGCTGAAACAACCATCACAAAGGAAGTAACTATTTCAAGAACAGGAGGAAATCTTAAACACCTATAATGTTAGTAGTTGAGGAGAAAGACTTGTGCAAGCATAGAAAGAGATACTTTGGTGAATTAATCTAGCAAAATATTAACCCTGCATTAGCAATAACATGGTTTCACTACAAACGTATACAGTTGTGATATTTTTTAATCTATATTCCGAAAAATGCCCAAAAATCTTGCAAGGAAATCACAGTGATCACCACATTTTATCAAGTAACGACTATGAAAATAATGACTATGCTATCCTATGAATTAGTACCTTTCCGTCATAAAATTTGAGCATGCATCAATCTATTGTCGTATATATGTCTCATTCATTATCTACAGCCACACAGAGCTGGTTTGAATTTTGCTGCTCTGTATGGATGCGATAATGCACAAGCACACATTTGACAGAATAATTTATTCTTTGGAGAATAGTTATGAATGGAGTTTCCAGTGTGCCTCCATGTTCCTAGTTTATTGTAATGTAAAGAGCAACTGTGTTAAAAGTACAGATATCCTGTCTAATTTATGGAAAGCCATTATGTAGTCATCTGGGCTTTCATACAGACATCAGGAAAAGCATTTAGAGAAAGCTGCGTGGAACTGAAACTTTATTTAAATGGGATTAACAATTTCTCTTCCACAAAGTCAATTCCTTAAAGCTAATCAAAATTTCCAAGGAACATGTCCTTTTTGCTTGCTACAGTGACTTTAATCACTTGTTTATAAGTGGTGTAACATCTTCATATAGGATGCAACTTGGATCCATCTGCTAGGGGCCATGTGAGCCAATATGATGATTTTAAAATTTTGTGGGGAACGCACCAACACCATGTGCTACATTTCTCTTTCTCAATTCCTTCTCAAAGAGATAAGTCCTCGCTCCAAGAATATCCGGATGTTTATAAACAAACCAAATCTTCTTTAGAAAATTACTACCTCCCAACACCAATCATCATCATTATTTTTCCCAGGCATTGTATTTTTGTGTGTGTAATTTTAATTCTTTCTTCTTGTACATTATTGGAGGATACGTTCCGCTTAAATAAACAAGAATGAAAAAAACCCCTATTTTTGTATGCCTCTCTTAATTGAGCAAATAGAAACTTGAAGGAGCTGGTTTACATGGGGGACACAGTGGCTAAGATAAGATTAACACTTCTCTTCCAGAGTAGTTCTCCCAACTCAATTCAGGGATGCTTTAAAAAGAAGGGAAATCTGGTCATCTAGTTTGGACCTATATTTCCAGGCTGAATTAGCTCCTACATTATGAGATGGGCTTTGAAGCCTTGTCTAGAGTTATTCTAAAAATAACCAGCTTACTAAATAAGAGTGTTATTTGAAAAAAGTATACAACAGCTGTTTTCTATCACTTTTATGTGTTAAGATTGCCAGATTATGTTTGGTTCACCAGTGTTGCCAAGGCAGTTTCGCTGAATTATTTTCCCCCTACAAACTGATCAGCTATAAAAATACAAGTTTGAGACAATGTGATTAATTAGCACAAGTACTTTTTGAAAGCAGGAAGAACTACGGATATGATCTTTTGAGGTTTAAAACTGTTCATCATCAGTTTAAGAGTCTCAAATGAGCACCTTTTTCTCAAGCAGTGAGACATTCCAGGGGTCTAGTGCTTCACAGCGTTTGGTTTCCTTTGGAAGAAAGGATCTCTGGAAACTTATGTCAGTTTGCAATATTGAAATTTATTTACTAATATACACATACTGGGTGGTCAAGATAAAAATACAGTTGTGAAGACTGCACATTTTCTATCTGCAGTATCTGATGAGAGGAGTAATTTCTTGAGAGAGAATGTTGTGTCTTATCAGGGAGATTTAGAATTTTAGGTTTGTTTTATATATTTTTTCATTTAGGTTTTACAAAATTTTATTCAGATTTGCACACATCCATTTCATTTTATACTTGATCAGTCCACTAAGTTCTTTCTCTGGTCAGTCAACTCCAAGTTCACACCCTGTTATCATATTTTTTTTTGCCCTTGTGTGCATCACCTTACACTTGTTTACACTGAATCACAGTTTATGCCCTTTCACCAAGCTTGAAGCAATTCTTTCTTTCTTTGCAGTCCCTTTTTGTTCTTACCACTATGAAAAATTAATAAATCAAATCCAAGAGCAGTTTGGAGGCTTGAAAGAGCACAGAAGCATGTACAGATCATTCAAATGAGCTTTTCTTGACTGCAATCAGTAGATAACTTAACTCATTAGGGGAGGGAAGCAGCTTAGTTCCACAGCTCATACTTTGCAAGCAGAATGTCCCAGGTGTGATTAGAAAAAAACTCATATCTGAAACCCTGGAGAGCCACTGTCCATCCGTGCCAATGATGGCTGGGCAAGATGGACCTATGCAGGCCTTTTGTTTAGGGGAGACTCACAGGAACTCAGTTCCAGCACCTCTCAGGTGGGTTCTGGCAGTTTCAGCACCTCTCTGGTAGGCTCCATTGCCATTCTAAGAGAAGAGGGAGGTGTTCATGGTGAGTTGCAGCACCCTTTTTTCTAGAAAAATAGCACTGGGCCTATGGTCTAGCTCCTAATAAGGCAGCTTCCTATGTTCCCTTAATATTTTTTCCAGCCATTTAATGAGAGAAAAAGTGTATCAAGTGTTTGGAGAAGATTAGCAGATTAGCTTCAGCGTGAGTGCATTGTGAAACCTTAAATCTAAGTGCTCTGGGTAAATTTGAGAATGATTGACTGACTGATTGATTTGTGACTTCTGTTCCAGAGATTCTGCCTTGATTTAAGACGCCTAGACCACGTTGATTTATCTTATAACCAGCAGTTAACAAATAATTCGTTAAAAAATTTGGCATTCAACTGCCACAGAATTACAATTCTAAGTGTGACTGGTTGTCCCAAGGTATGTATGAAAAGAAAGACAACAAGTACTAGAAACTCTGTTACTGAACATAGAGACTTTGTTCTGCTAAAATCATTGTCAGTGTTGCTTGTATGAGTGCTAAAGGCTTTAGTGGTAATGCCTTAAATAGACCTTAAATATTTTATGAGCTTACTAAAACTTTTCTTCCCTTGGCTGTTGCTAATAATTCCTTATTTCCCCCCAAAATGTATCTTTTCCCCTTCATTGACAGGTCACTGATACCGGCATTCAGTTTGTGGCTGCAGAATGCCCTTTTCTGCACTATTTGGATATTTCAGGCTGCATGTGTATTACTGACAGAACACTTAAGTGTCTGTGGAAAGGTTGCCAACAACTTCGAATTCTTAAGATGCTGTACTGCCCAAATATTACCAGGTAAGTTGTTCTCTAGAAGTCTAGTTTTTATTTATTTCACAAGATTTATATCCCCTTCATAAAAACCTCAAGGTGGTGTACAAAAAGAATAAAATTATTAGTTAAAAAAACCCCCAGTTAAAAACTACTATTTAAATCATTCAGAATTAATTAAAATCAACGATAAGCTAAAAACAGATTGTAAAACATGTCAACATTCTACAAGTCTGAATAAAGGTAAAGGGACCCCTGACCATTAGGTTCAGTTGTGACCAACTCTGGGGTTGCGGCGCTCATCTCGCTTTATTGGCCGAGGGAGCCGGCGTACAGCTTCTGGGTCATGTGGCCAGCATGACAAAGCCGCTTCTGGCGAACCAGAGCAGCGCACGGAAATGACGTTTACCTTCCCGCCGGCGTGATACCTATTTATCTACTTGCACTTTGACGTGCTTTCAAACTGCTAGGTTGGCAGGAGCAGGGACAGAGCAACGGGAGCTCACCCCGTCGCGGGGATTCAAACCGCTGACCTTCTGATCAGCAAGTCCTAGGCTCCGTGGTTTAACCCACAGCGTAGGCTTGCCTAAACAAACATGTTTTTAGTGGGCACCCAAAAGTGTACAGTGAAGGTGTCTGATTCATGTCAACAAGCAAGTTGTGGATGAGCTTGGTCTTCTTGTGGACTAATCTGTTTGCAGATCAGCACATAAGCTACTTAATAAATGTATACATCATGTACCAAAAGAGTCATTGCAATAACATTCTTGCTAACAAAATAGTCCCAATGATCAACCAGATGCCTTCATCTACTCCAGCTGCAACAAAACATGTTTCTACAGCCGCAGCAACTCTCCAGGGATTTGTTTTCACCCCTGAAGGCACACTCTTCCATTGTCTCCCAAGACAGATGTCAACCAACCAAACTTAGGTGCAAACCTATACACACTTTTCTGGGAATTAAGTCCCATCAAACACAATGTCTGACCCTGACCACTAGGGCTTCATAGACACATCCATCTTATTGGGGGAAAACAAAGCCACATTCTGTGAAGAACTACTTCTAACTAAATCTTATTAAAATGAACGAAGATTGTGCATATGATGTTCCCAGGGCTGTACCTTCTGAGTTCAGCAGGGTTGAAAGGTAAGAACCCACAAGCACCCATTAGTGCTATTTGCTTTCTCAGTTGCAATTTATATGAACAGCATATTGTATAGTCCAGCTTTTAATGTCCTCTCGAGCCAAATTGTTCTTGCCATTATATGCATGTTTTGTTATATTAATCCCACTCCCTCCGGCCCTAAAGCTTGAGTTGCTCAGGGACATGGGGTGAACGAGAAATGCAAGTCTTTCTTTCACTGCCAAAGTCTCAGCTAAAATTGCCTCTCCTGGCACACTATTTACATTTCATGGGAAGCTTCCATCAGGACAAATAGTAAGTTCCCTTGGAAAGCAAGTATCATATTTGGAGAGGATTTTTGTTGTTCTGACTATGGTCTGGTGGATGCTTCAGCTTCCCTGCGGCTATTTACAAAAAAATACATATTTCCATAACGAAACCACACACCTCTTTCCACTTGTGGGCACCCTTCTGTCTCGAGAGAAGAGACAACCCTGGGGTGCAAGCCCAGACAGTGTGAATAATAATAAATAATAATAAATTATTATTTACAAGCTGCCCATCTGACTGGGTTGCCCAGCCACTCTGGGCGGCTTCCAACAAATTAAAACATCAGACATTAAAAACTTCCCTAAACAGGGCTGTCTTCAGATGTCTTCTAAAAGTCAGATAGTTGCTAATTTCCTTGACATCTGATGGGAGGGTGTTCCATAGTTGTGAGGACCCCCCCCCCTGCAACCTCGCTGATGCGATCCAAAGGAAAGTGGACCAATAGGTTTGGCACCAGCTTTGCTGCAGGAGTTGCTGGATCTTGCCATTTTGTATCTGTAATACTTAACGGTGGTGGTGTTCATTAAAAACCTGTTATTTACTCTATAGACAACTTCAAGTATGTGTATATGTAATGGTTTCATTATTTTTGCTGACCTCTTCAAGAAGCATGCCACCTGCAAGTTGTGTTACAAGTATTAGTGTATGTTAAATTGTATTCATTGAATCAGTGCCAAGTTGTTTGGCCCTCCGAACCTATACAATTTTTCTAAATTATTGCTGCTATCAAAGTCACTATGAACCATTACAGTGTTTGTGAATATTCTATGACACAGTCCTGAAAGTGGGTTAGAAGCTCAGACACACAGCTGGTTTTAGGGTCCTCTAGTTTTTTGCTATATTATTTATGTTTTACACAAGAGATTCCTTCAGAGGAAAGACTTATACAGTGGTACTTCGGGTTACATACACTTCAGGTTACAGACTCCACTAACCCAGAAACAGTGCTTCAGGTTAAGAACTTTGCTTCAGGATGAGAACAGAAATCGTGCGGTGGCAGCGGGAGGCCCCATCAGCTAAAGTGTTGCTTCAGGTTAAGAACAGTTTCAGGTTAAGAACGGACCTCCGGAAAGAATTAAGTACTTAACCTGAGGTACCACTGTATGTACATTAATAGTGACTGTCCATCTATCTATTTCAGACAAGCAGTTTCAAAATTTGCACCAAGGCTCCAGAAATACGAATACAACGATGAAGAACCTCCTCAATGGTTTGGTTATGATACCAAGGATGACACACCCATTCCAAAGAAACATAAAAAACCTCGGCCAAGCATAGAGCCAAGTATAGAGTCCAGTTCACCCTCCATGCTATCCCCCTCAGCAGAAAAAAGTGTGGAATTCAGTCTCCCCCCACAGTAGAACCTCCACAGAATACTGGTAATCATATATGTTTAATAGCCTTAAGCACAAAGAATTGAAATGCAAACTCATTTTTGTTTTGTTTAAGAAGATAATGATGCATTGTCTTAAGATTGTTTTTAGTTTGATAGCTAGTACAAGTCATCCTAGAAAACATTGTTACTGTCTTTCCTAATTAGTTCAGTCAAATAAATGTTATTATTTTGTTCAGTTCTTCTTTGAACACCAGTCAGCAAAGAGCTTAGTTTTCTCTACAAATAATTAACATAATTTGTGTACAGTTTAGTGTACATTTAAGAAAATTAAGTTGGTATTTTTCTGGTTGTTGAAGACAGCATTCTGCCCCTTAGTAAGCTCAGATTTCCCCAGCTGTCACTCAAACTAAGGAGGCCTTAAAAAGAAAAAAAGGTGCATTTTATCTATGGAGTATCTTGTGTATCTTGCGTTGAGATAGTTTGTATGCCAATCAGTTTCACCCACACGTTACCTAAAATGCACAAGTGAAACACATATTCCTCAAATAATAAACATTCTTTATTGTTTACTTATTACATAGGTGTCCTGCCTTTCTTCAATAATGTAACCCAACATGGCAGTATTTCATTCACTGACTAAAGGCAGAGCTGCTTAGCTGTATCATGTGCCTTATGCCATGCAACTTTGGAAATGATAGTCTTGCTTCACTCGTTCTGATACTGTAGTTTATGTGATTGTATCGTACAAAGCTTTTTAAAGCTATTTTGAGAATGGGGGGGGCTACAAAGTGATATGTCAGTATTGTTTGTAAATAAATGAGGGAGTCGGTGCATGAGTGCAACACGACTATTGCTTGGGCAACTGAGCTTCCCTTTCCTCCTGTGAGCCACCAAAATCTGCTCTGGAGATTTAGGAGACCCTCACAGCAGATTGGGACTGTTTGACTCACCCCCTCCAGATGACCGAGGCCATCCTTGTAGGCTGTCAAACGTGGGCCTTCATTCTTTCTGTCACTTGCATCGTCCTCAGGAATGCTGATGGGTTACCACTGTGGGTGTGAGTGCACACTGGGGAGATCTGATCTACCACCAACCGTCTGTCCTATGGGTGAGGAGAGGTGGTGATGACTCCCAAGGTCTGCTGGGAACACCTCTGGCCTCCCCTGCGTTATTCTGGCTCTACTCAAACCTGCACTGAATGGAGGCTTTCTTGCACCGCATCATCCTCAGTGACTTGCTATCCAATATTCCTATAAAAAGGTGGGGGACCAGTGTGGGGAGAGACCTTGCTCCACCATGGTGTCAGGAGCGGTGAGGGAGAGAATTGGGGCCAACCCCCTAGAAGAAAGGTGGAGGAAAGCAAAAAACAACTCAGGATTAAGCATTTTAATCTTCAGCGTATTTGTTGAAAGTTTGGCTGCTTAAAGTGATCAATAAACAAGTTAGGGGGGAAAGGTTGTTTCCATTGATTTCTGAGCATTTGAAGCCAAAGACACCAGAAACACTAAAACATGCCTCAGTGCATATTATATGCAAACAGTGGGCAAGATTTACAGTAATCTTTCTGCATTGTTTCTTGATTATAAGTAAAGATTATTCACTCCATCATGAGGCCTTCAGTTTCACAGACTGGAACCAGGTTTGACTTTTGAGATGAACTGTGCCATTTTCTGTCTCTGCTTTAATATATTTTCCTTGTTTATCCTGTTGATTCATATGGCCTAAATGGACAAAAGAAAAATTATGGTAGTTAATTTCACAAATTGATTCTGGACCCTTTTTCCAAGCAGATTCATTTTTACCTTCATGGAAATTTTTACTGGAATAAATCATGGCATGTCCTGGGGCTTGGTTTCTTCCTTGACATCATACCATGACTCATCGCAGCAAAGCCCCAGCAGAATAGATTTGGGGAAGAATAATGTGTCTTTGCATTATGTTGATTTTAAATCAAGCCTACTGATAGTCCATGATTATAGAAACATGTTTTCCAAATGCAAACCCTGTGGGTGCAAAAAGCTAGCTCTTAAATTCAGGTTGTGATTCGAGGACTCGATCCCCGCTTGGGGAATAAAGACACGTGGACACAGAATGTAAGGTTAATGGGTAAGGTAAAGGCCACAACTTTATTGATTACAGCATGTGAGAAGGTATTGGCTTAGGCATTGGACCACAGAACATTAGACTCCACCCACTTGTAGAGGGGTGAATCTGAGGAGGGGTTAACCACCAGTAGGGGAAGCCTGTTGATGCTAATCCAACTATAGGCTCTCTTCCTGATGTCACCGAGGGTCGTGCCATGGCCCCCCGCCACACGGGCATCGGACAGGATCCACGACCGCCGGATTCCTTTAGCGGAATACCCAAAATTGTCGGGGAAGGCGATGGCCACACCTTGCCCCCCAAAACACCAACAACACATTCCAATGCCTAACCGCCAAATACCACGAAAGTTGTGACGGTTGCTACGAGGTAGGCGGAAAAAAACCAAGAGGCTGGGCCAATTTAGCCAATTGGAAAAAACTCCTACCAGGCCCCCTGGTTAAACAGGGCGACCAACCAGAGGTCCATAGCAAAGTCTCAGGAACAGCTAATCTAAAGGGAGTGGAGGGTGGGTGACTCGAAGAAAATGTGTGTGCAATGGTGGGGATGGCTGGCGCGGCTGCGTTTGAGCAGCAAGCCATGCCCCCGCCGAGCTTCCCTATTGGGTGCCCAACCGGGGAGGGGCGTGGCGCCAGCCCTGAAGTTGGAGCAGGGGGCGGAGCGCCCCCTGCATGACGCGGGAATTGTCTCCCACTCACAACCCCTCCCCTCCTGGGAGGAGGAAAGGCTTTGTCACAATTCCTAGTTTGGGACTCAGTCTCTGTTGCTGGCCATAAGCTGAGTACAGCTGTAGCAGGCTGAATGAATCACTTTCATGCCACTCCATGCAAACTAGAATCCATGGACTTCTATGCTTTAATCTTATCTTCCAAGGCTAAGCTATGCTCCAAAATCTATTTTCAGCCTCTGGATTTAGAAAACAAAGCAGAACTGTATTCCAGAGGTAACCTGGGTAAGCCTCCAAAAGATGAAAATGAACGAGTAGCTAAGTTGGAAGGATATTATGTGCATAAAACAATTTAGCGCCTTTGTTTGAACTCAAATGATTTATGGGAAAGCATTTGGTTTAGGCATCTGTTCCTTCCCCTAAGAATATTCTGTTGAAATTAGTCATATCTCATAAGTGCAAACTACAGTGAACTGTCCTTGGAGGAAGTAAAAGTTAGCATACCACTCACAGGAAAAATGGCCAAAATTATTTACTTAAGTCACAAAATGTACAACTAAAAACAGTATAAGGAGGCCTACTGTATCTGAAGGTATACCGATCTTTTTCCTGATGGATTTAAGGTTTTCTCTGCCACTATATAAACCAGGTGCCAGTGACAGAGTCTCATAGTGTACAGAACACTTCTCAAACTCATGACTGTTCGTTTTATTTTTACACCTGAAGGTCTATTTCCTCTTTAAAATTCAGCACAATTTATGTACTCAGGACCTGGCTCTCTCCATCCAAAACACACGGTAAATGAAAAACGCATAGCTTTCTAGAAAGGCCTTCTTTCAGCTGTGGCCGTTTAGCATCTACACTTGAGTTATTAGATTCTACGTGTTTTGGAGTCACTTCAAGAATTTAATCCACAAGTGAAAAGGCAACAGGCTCTGGTGAAGACTGAAACCCTTCTTAAGTGGTAACGTATTATTGCCTCCTTTATGTTACATTAATACCACATCATTTTTTATGCTGGGTTCAGAGGTCAGAGCGCCATTAATTTGCACTTGGATGCGGAGGAGAGCAAGAAGAAGACAGGAAAGTGCACAGGGACCCTACTGAGCTCCAATGACAATCCCTCTGTGGTGGTGCAGGATCATGCTCCAGGTCAAGAGTAGTGGTAGCCTCCAGATGAGCTGAACTACAACTCCCATGATGCATCTCCATTTGCCATGTTAGCTGGTGCTGATGGGATCTGGAGTCCAATAACATCTGGAAGGCACCCACATTGGCTGGTCCTACCCCAAGTATAAATGTGTAAAGAGATCTAGCGTATGTGAGACCTCTGAAGAAGCTGAGCTACTATTACATACACATTTCAAGCGCCGTTGCCCTTCAAGAGCACTAGAATCCGGGTGATACCAAAACCAACATCTGGACCCCTTATTCAGTCTTCTGAATTACTGCCAGTCATCTATGCTATAAGCACACAGTTGCCATATTTTGCATCTCTGTGTCCCGTAGTGCCAAATTTTGTGCTAGATACGGCACTAAAGCTGGCACCAGACATATAATGGGTGAATATAAATCACCAGCTTATGAAGTGGTTAATGCGTGAAAGTTTGCTTGCTTCTTAAATGTGTGCTATCAGGTGTGGCAAAGTGTTTCCATACAGACCACTGTGGCCAGATTATTTCTATTCTGATGTTGTTGCTTCACTCCTAGTCACTTGGCTGTTATTGAAGGAAGACCTCTTCCTCAATACACTCAATACACTGTTATTTTGCTTTGTCATTTGGAGAAATAAATGATTCATCTGTTATCACAGTCTTAAAAGTTTGTTCAAAGAAGTCTATAAAACATTTTCTGCTTTCTTTGAATTTATTCTCTTTTTCTTAGGAAAAACATTTGCCTGTTTCAAAAAGCGCCTGTAGGTCTTTGATGCCATTATGATCTATAATGCCCACACCTCACCTAGCCCCCTCATCTCCAAGGTATGGCTACATTTTCTCAATAATAATTTTTAAAACCCTGAAGCACACTACAGTAATCTGACCAACATGGTACCCTCCTATCACTGTGAGCTGGAACAAGACTCCACACTTCTCTCTCTCTCTATTTCTGCCCAGTGTATTCAAACAGTAAATGACCATCTTAGTATGGAATAAAAATTATGAATGTTATATATTAAAATACCTTATTAAAAGGCCTTATCACCTGATAAACCACCCAGCCTTTAGCATGCATTAGAATCCACACCGCAGTGGGTTGTGTGTGGAAATCTCACCGTGCTTTGATCAATACTGATAGCCAAAAAATCCCAGGGTTGGAAAACATTCCCACTGCAATGGGTCTGCGAAATGCCTGAAACAGGTACAGGAGATCATACTATGGGATGTTTATACAGCTAGTGGAGTTTAAAGGTCCATTTCTAACACAAGTGAAATGTGAGTCATTTTGCAAAACAAACTATTTAGCAATATGGCTGCTGCATGCTTGTTGGGTTCCGATGATAGACTGGCTAGACTCTCCATCTTTGAAAATGCCTTGGCTCACCTCCTGTTTTCTTTGGAATATATGAGCAGGGTGCTAAATATAGATGGGGGAATCTATTTTTTTAATTTGCAGTTACTACAGCACTGAGATTTATAGGGGGAGCATTAAAAATGTTGTAAATTGCTCCTTTGCTTGTTCTGCCCACTCCAAATGTAGCTGCCAAGCTTGTAATTTACACAGCCTGACTCCATATTAATAAATGGAGTCTAAGATATACAGCATCTTTGCCCCAGATCTTTTGGGGGAAAGAATGCTGCATGCCCTGGCTAGCTTCTTGCAGTTGCGTCTGGGAAGCCTCTTTGCTCAACTGTCCTAAGGGTCTTCTCCTGCGGCGGGTTTATTTTTACGTTTGCCACATTCATTTTCCAAAACAAAGTTTTTCTTTGTTGATATGAAGGCTACAGAATACTTAGCTGCACTTCAGGGCCATCCTTCCAAAACCAAGAGAAGGCAAAGTTGCTCCCTTGCTCTTAACAGGGACATTCCTTCTCAGTGACACAAAGGGTCGAGATATTTTAATCATCACAACTTGTGCAAATATAATGCGCTTCATGAGAAACACCAGAGGTGGAGAACTCACTCCACGACCCTTTAAATGAAATTGTGAGGAAAATCCCACAGGAGCTTGTGTTAATATGGAAGCAAAATTACTTGGCTGGAAAACATAATACAGATAGAAGTTAAAGGCTGGTGGGAAATAGCTGAGTCATGTAAAAGCCGCTTGACATAAAGATGCTTTTTCTTTTATTCAATTAGATAAATATATCAAATGTATTAAGTGATCAACCATCTGATCCAACAAGTTAATAACACAATGAGAATGATTTCAACATTGCCTAAAATATTAAAATGCTCTCTCTATAGACCACTTCATATGCAACTCTAAGTCATAGTTCATTGCTGTGTAGACAACCCACAGCAAGCCATGGGCTCCCACACTTCCCCATTCCCTTTCACCTGCCACAGGAGACTGAAAGCTACCACTTCGTTTTAAATTAACCAAAGTTCCCTGTTACATCTGAGCGCAGCGAATGCTGGATAGCTTAAACTGCTGTCCATTCAAAGAAAGAGAGATCAATTGTGGTTTATATTCCTGGCTTGCTCACTAAATATAGTGAAGGATGACGAAGAATTAATTAAATTAAATTAAAATTAATTTAAAATCCAGCAGATCCTTGGCTGCTACCACCATTGTTCCACCCTGTTTTGGGGGATCCAGTAGTTTCACAGAAGACAACTGTTTCACATAGTTCACAATTTGTAGTATTCCACTGAGTTCATTGGTTCATTGACTCAGTCTCCAATTGGTGAGCCACTAAAATGTTTTCCCTACAAAGTTCTGCAAGTTTTATTTTTTACTTCAGTTCTCCTTTCAACATACTGGGATTATCTTGCATAGTTAAGAAGAGCATGGTTTGCTTCTGGACCAACGAAGCAATCAAATTTGTGTTTCGATGAAAAGTTAAAAACATGGGCAGGCATTTATTACATCTGTTCTAACTTGCAGCAGAGAAAAGCCTGGACGAGAACAACAAAATTAGTTTCAATCTCTTCCATCAACCTAAGCGGCTTCTTAAATAAGAAGGTCTTTGATAGACTAGGGTAGAGAGGCAATGATGTAAGAAGAAAACTGGCCAGGTGGACTTCCCTAACATTGATTCTTCGTCAGGTATCCTTTCTGACTCTCCTATGACCTTGCCTGAGCTCAGATAATTGTGTATTGGGCTGTGTCTGTGTATATTTGTGTCATCAAAGGCTGTTTAGATTAGAGGAACAAAACACAAGTGCGTAGCTTGGAAGTGCAGTTTGGTGCAGCCTCCTCTGTTATGCTTTGACTGTCCAAGCAAAACTGGTGCCAGCCCTTGGATATATAAAGGCCCTTGATGTGGTGCATGGATATAACGAAGCAAAACCCAAACGAGCATTCTTGACTCAATGGTAACAAATCACTCTTTCCTGCAGTTTGCCAGGGAACAAGTTATTGGACTGCTAACAAAAGGAAATAACCTATACCAGTAATCTGAAGGGGAAAAAACCAGAGTATCAAAGGGATGTTTGTCTCTAGGACTTGAAAGCTGTACTGAAGGTGTATTATTTTATTATGTTTGACTGAAAATAACTGAGGTTTATAAAAGTAAATCAACCTTCCATGTCTCCCATGTATTCTTCGCCTATAGCAAGCAAGGCAAACTTTGGATTTATGCTAGCATTCCTTTTGTTTCTAAAGTGCTACATCAGCAAAGGGTATTGAGATGCACAGGAATTTGCAGGGTGGCAAATTCCAAAGACAAAGGGAGCCGAGGCTACAGCAAAGACAGAGGCCCCAGCAACACCGGAAAAACTATTCCCTTTTAAACCAAGAAAAAAGAATAACACCGAAAAACTATTCCCTTTAAACCAAGGACAAGGGGGGGAGGCAAAGGAATCGTGGGGCTGGTGAGCACGTGAAGGGAACAATTGACTCCGCCGGTCTCAGTAAATAAAGCAGTGGTTCACCAAGGCTATACTGTAGCTCAACTACAGCCGGCGAAGCTACTATTCAAAAGCAAAGGAACCGGCTGGCCACGTGGGGGGGGGTGAATGAAGGCAGAATCGGCAGAACAGACTGGATGGTTGCGGACAGGTTCCCACACACCCACCTGGGACCCGAGAATTAAAGCGAACCGGACAAACTGGTCTTCACCCCTTAAGATGTGGTCCCCACCACACCATAAGGGCAAGAGCGAGACGCCAAGCGGACAGGCAGAAGCCAGAGCACAAAGGCACACACACACAGAAAGCCACAGAAACGCGTCCTCACAAAAACCCCTTGAGCTCTGGTCCAGAAACGCACTACAGGCAGGAATGGGGCTCCAAACAGTGAGGCAGAACCAAGAAACACCCGCACACACCCAACAGCAAAAGGAAGCAACAGGGGATCAATCGGAAGGTGGGGGGGGGGAACCCGCCAAACACACACAGCAAACAATCAAAGCGAGACCCAAACGACACTGCACTGGCGCCCAGGCGATGCGAAAGGAAACGGAAGATTAAAAATGCGCCCGTCAGCTGTTAGGCAGCTGATAGCGGCCGGCGGCGGCTGAACAATAGCGCCCACGTGGGCTGTTGCCCGGCGCAGGGATAAATGTGAGAAAAGCAACCACAATCTCGGAAACACACCCCGAAAAGCACACGAGCTAGCGCAAAACCAACGCGGAAGGCTGGAAAAGGAAGTAGAAAACTCCCCTAAACGAACGATGCGCCCGTCAGCTGTTAAGCGGCTGAGAGCCCGTCAGCTGTTAGGCGGCCCACGTGGGCTGTTGCACGAGCAGGGAAGAAGAACCCGATAAGCCCTTGGAAAATTAAAGAACGCTAGCCGCAATGTTTGACTGCAGAGTCAAGGGTAACTAATGGGACGCAACCAAAAACCGCGAAACGACAAAAGAAGCAGCAAATACTTCCCTGGCTTCCTGCAGCAGCAGTCTCCGATCTTGACTCGCGAGGGGCGAAGGAAGGAAGAATGAGGCCGGGGGAAGGCTGGCGCTGCAGCAAAATGCTGCTGGACACGCCCCCACCGTGGCCCCCGGTTGGATGGCCACCGAGGGGGCGTGAGCGCCAGCCAGGTGAGTGGGCAGCAGGGGGCCCCGCCCCCTGCTAGCCGGAGCTCGAGCCCCGACCACAACCCCTCCCCTCCCCTTCGGGGAGGAGAGTCTTTATAAAAGTAAATCAACCTTCCATGTCTCCCATGTATTCTTCGCCTATAGCAAGCAAGGCAAACTTTGGATTTATGCTAGCATTCCTTTTGTTTCTAAAGTGCTACATCAGCAAAGGGTATTGAGATGCACAGTAATTACATCTGGCAAGTCTAAACCAGAACGTATCTATTCTTTCCTTCTTCTCAGCAGAAAAAAATCAATCACCCCCAAGATACACATCATTTGAGCCATTCTCCAAGGAGCCGCTTATTTGTGAAGCAAGCTCTTAGTTCAGAAGACTAAAATAGAGACAATGTGCAGCTCTCTGTGAGAATTTTCCATTTAGCAAAGTAGGGTAGCTCTCCCTCCCCACTGAATCTCATGATGTTTTGTGCAGTTCAAGCATGAATTTATGCTCTCTGTACTTAGAATTGTCCATCACAGTCCTGGTGCAGATATCCCATGACTAAAAGCTCTAGAGTGGACAACAAGATTGCTTCTCCCCACCACATCCCTCCTCCTAGGTTAACCCCACTTAAGCATTGCCTAGGCACTGGCGTTAACTACAGTTTAGGCTGAAAATGATGGGGAGAAATCTGGTACAGACATAATTTGCACCCACGGAAAGGGTTGCAAACCTGACCACACACACTTAATTAACAGAGTAATTCGATTCATACCTAAAAGCAAAGTTTTATGGGGAGAGCGTCTACAAGACAAGACTCACCTGTAACTGTTATGCGGTCCTCCCTGGAGGCATTCTGAGTCTCCTGTAACTGGATCTCTGGGCTCACCTCAACCTTGCTCCCAGATAACTGGAGATAAGCTTGAAGAGTTGCAGGTACCTTGACAGTAATGGAGCCTATGATACACAAGAACAAAAGGATTTGTGTTAAGACAATTCAAGGCGACAGGCATAAACCACTTTGGGTCAGAGATCCCCCCCCCAAAAAAAATTAAACAAGAGTTCCATGAGAAATGTGGACTTGCTGTTTTTACTCAGCAAAAGGAAAGCAATATGGCAGCTCCAGATCTTTTGGACTCCAGAGCCCTGTTTGGATCTTCCCCAGGCAGTATAGCCAATGTTCAGGGACGATGGGAGCTGGAGTCCACAATATCTGGAGGGCAAAATTGGATGCCCCTGTTCCAAAGCGATGTGCTGGCTGCTTTCGTCAACATATTGGCATACAGCCTTTCCATAGTTAAAACCATGCTCACGGCGGCTTACAACATGGAAATCTTTATCTACCGTATTTTTCGCTCTATAAGACGCACCAGACCACAAGACGCACCTAGTTTTTGGAGGAGGAAAACAGGGGGAAAAATATTCTGAATCTCAGAAGCCAGAACAGCAAGAGGGATCGCTGCGCAGTGAAAGCACCAATCCCTCTTGATGTTCTGACTTCTGTGATAGCTGCGCAGCCTGCATTCGCTCCATAAGGCGCACACACATTTCCCCTTACTTTTTAGGAGGGAAAAAGTGAGTCTTATAAAGCAAAAAATATGGTAATTACCAACAAAACGAAAGTAGTCATAAACAAGAAATAAAACACATCAAAAACTACATGAACAACCTGAACCATTTCCACACAAATCATAACATCTAAAAATTAAAGGTGCAAATAATTAATAGCAACAAAAGCAACAAGACCCCCTAAGCAACCCCCAGCCCAAGAGTCTGTTCAGCTTTCGTAGCTGGAGTCAGTCATGGCTCCTGCCTCCCAGGCCAGATGGGAAAAGGCCTGCAAGGCAGTGAGCAGGTCCCCCAGGAATCACAGCCAAGATGCTGCTGGGCCTCTTCAGCAGCCTCAGCTTTTGTAGCTGGAGTCAGACAAGCAAGCGGGCAGAGCTCCACTCTCCTAGGCCAGGTGGAAAGTGGCTACTAAAGCAGGGATCAGATCTTCCAGGACTCACAGCCCATATTGGACAACAAATCTTGACTCTATACTGTTTGTGTGTGTGAAGTCTGGATGTTGCAGTGAACACCTAAGAAATTATTAGGATGATGATCCTCATGCCACCTTTGCTTTTCTTGTTGGAAAGGGTTACTCTCTTCATACTTTATCGGGAAGCCCTGATTGAGCTCTACAGTTTGAGAGGGAGGTTAACTTCATTTCTGCCATAGCAATTTAAGTGACTCACTCAGCACAAATGTAAGAAAGAACGAGAGAGAGCAGAAATCATATTTTCCACAGTGCAAATTTCAAGAACTTTGCATATTGGTCATTTACACATAATGCTACATTTCCTTTGGACCCAAATCCCATTGAAATCAGAAGAACTTGCTGTTGAGTAAAAGTGCTTCAGCTGTAAAAGCTTCACATACAAAATTACTATTTACTAACCTTCCTGAGATTTCAGATCCACTTCCCCCTTTTGATTGATAATGTAAACATCTATCTCCCCATGATGCGTAGAAGCTTTCAGGAATCCTTCGGAGGAATCTGAAGAACAAAAGAATGAAAATATTTTGAGCCGTGTGGGTTCCAATGAAATAGTATGTATATTTTGTGAGTCCCATATTCAAAGACTGTTTCTGAAATGTTTGCTCCTAGGGCGAAAGCAGTGCCGTGGAGTTTTTGTGGGGGAAGAGAGAAGAAGGGACACAATGTTCTCTCTATATTTAAACTTTAATAGATAGTTTGAGACTCACTGAACATCTACATAGAAAGAACATCTGCAGTTGTTCAGAGATGGTAACATAGCTTAGTTCTTCTCAAAATGTTCATGATAACCACGTAGATATTTTTCACCAGACATTTTCATTTTTCCTCCTCGAGGAAAACAGGAAGAAGGGTTCACCAAAAGCAGAATGATGTATGGGTGATTCTAAAAGGAGCATGTTTTCAAAGGGTACAAAGATAACAAACCTAACATTGTTTTCTAAATTGTCTCTGCATGCTATCCAGGCTTTTGATGAATGTTTCCCCCTACATACATACACTGAAAGAAAAGCTTGCATTTAAAAGTTGTTCAAAAGCTAATTTGCACAAACTCTAGGGAGCAAAAGTTGCTTGTTGTTTTTTGTAAAAAAATTCTAAACCCCCACACTATGATATTAAGAGAGTTTCAGAATACATCTGAACCCAGAAGCTAAACAACAGGAAATGCTCTAAAAATCTTTGCAGATTATGGCTGAATTGCCAGTATTTTCCCCCAACATGTACTTATTTTATCCAAAGGATTTATTAACAAGGAACAGAAAAAGTCATGGTGGTTTGAAAGCTAAATCTCAGAGATAACCAGGCAACTAGACAAAAAAAGAAAGAGCTATTTGAAAGAGTTTTTTAACTAGTGAAAACCAAAAGCTTGATTCAGGTTTGTTCCTCAGGTTTCCAGGGTTTGTCCTGTAGCAATGATAAATGCATTTAATTTGTTCATAGTTTTTCTTTTAACAAAGCTCTTGGGCCATGTATGTGACAGATCACCCCTCCCAGAAAAAGAGCAAGAATGTGCTATTATAGCCTGTGTTTGCTACACACACATCAATGTGGACCCCATCCAGGTGCACATGGAGGAAACTGATCCAAGCGGAGTTTAGGCCCAGTTTTGGGCACAGAAACTGCCCTGGTTGCCTCGGGAGAGAGACATGGGCAATGTGTCCCTGCTAATCCTTCTTGACCTCTCAGTGGTTTGAGATACCATTGGCCATGATATCCTTCTGGAGCGGCTATCCAAGTTGGGAGTGGGCTTCTGATCCTACTTGGATAGTCATTTCCAGGGTGATGCTTGGGGTTCCTCAGGGTTCAGTATTACCCCCCATGCTGCTTAACATCTACATGAAACTGCTGGGTGGGGTTATCCAGAGTTTTGGAGTGTGCTGTTATCAGCAATATGCTGATGGCACTCAGCTCTATTTCTCCTTTACATCTGCAGGTATGGCGGTTGGCAATTGTGCCAGACCGTTGTCTTGCCTCCGTAATGGACTGGATGAGAGTCAACAAACTGAAGCTCAACCCAGATAAAACTGAGGCACTGTTAGTGGGTAAAAACAAAAAAATTTCCTTCCAGTAGCACCTTAAAGACCAACTAAGTTAGTTCTTGGTATGAGCTTTCGTGTGCATGCACACTTCTTCAGATACACTGAAACAGAACTTAGTTGGTCTTTAAGGTGCTACTGGAAGGAATTTTTTTTGTTTTGACTATGGCAGACCAACACGGCTACCTATCTGTAACTGTTAGTGGGTAGTTTGCTTGAACAGATGGATGGGAGGTGGCCTGCTCTTGATGGGGTAACACTCCCTCTGAAGGAGCAGGTATGCAGATTGGGGGGTACTCCTGGATCCATTGCTGTCACTTGAGCCTCAGGTGGCTTTGGTGGTGCAGAGCGCCTTCCACCAGCTTCAGCTACTGTTGTCTATGCTCTGGCAACCTCTAGGCTAGATCACTGCAACATGTTATATGTGGGGCTGCTTTTGACTATGTTTCAGAAACTTAGTGGCCAGGCTGCTCACTGAGGCAAGATGGTTTGAACATGTAGCACCAATCCTGGCTCAACTGCACTGGCTGCTAAGCAGTTCCTGGGCCCAATTCAAAGTGCTGGCTGTAATGCTTTAAATGGCTTTACATACCTCAAGGATGGCCTTTCCCTATATGAACTGAGCCAGACCTTGTGATCACTGATCACCATTTGAGGCCTTTCTTTGCGTACCGCTTGCATAAAAATTGAATTAACACCACCACCACTGTGTCCCCCTACCCAGTGACCACTTTTGTCATGATAATCTCTCATCATGTCTATCACTTGGTCTTTGAGAAAAATTTGTTCTTGGAATTAGGCTTCAAAGCTCGCTGCACCAAACATTCCATTTTTTATTCCCGACCAACTTTTGTGGCAATCATTTCTTCAGAAAATGCTGCCACTGTAGAGGCCAGCAATGGATGTTTGGACTGTATGCACTGCATCGGCCATTTCAGAGTAGGATCCTGGCCTTGTATGTCCATTGTTACGAAGTACCCCTAAAATCCAGCTTTTGCTAGAATTACAGGAGCCTGCACCTAAGAAGGGAAGTTCTGTTTTGACCTGCAGAGGCAGGTAAGGTACTCAGGCAAGGTACCTTACTCAGGTAAGGTATGTTCAAGCAAGCAGAGTTTTAGCACCTCTTGCATAATCCACTAATTGCCACCTCTTTTCACTCTAAATCTTTGCCATGTCAAAAGTAAACAAAAGAGCATCAGATTCCTTCTGGAAGCATTAAGCCAACATGCGATCACCCAACGTGTCACTCCTTGCTTCTTCCCTAAACGCCTAATGAAGAAGTTACAGGAGGCAGAGATGAGGCAGGCTGCTGAAGAATCCAGGGAGTCTCTCCCTCCTGCTGCGACCAGCTCCCCTCCCCCTGGTTTCCCAGAACACGCAGAGAAATGAAGAGGGAGAAACAACAAGAGGCAAGATGATGAAGCCTCAGGCTGCTGGGGAAGGAGAGCGGTGGGAAGGCGGGGACCTTCAGTCCTTGCAACTTCCTTGTTGGCAGAGTTGCTGGGATCACTATGACTGAGCTGTTTTGTTCTTTGAATAAAGAGTTAACTTGACTGACATTGGGTGCTTGATTGTTTTATCACTGACTCCAGCTCCTGACACCGTGCAAATTCCCACCTCCAACATCTTGCCCATTTCTCTCTAAAGCAAGTGGTCCAAGCCTCCTTGTTTTACCACCTTTACCCCTTCAGCCAACACTTGTCACTCTCTCATTGCCCTGCCCAGTTTTACTGCATCCTAGGTCTTCCATGTGTTTTCAGGCATGCTTTAGAACCGTGAGCTCAGATAATTAGTTTTAACTTGCTTATTCACTGTAAGCTCTTTTGGCTTCAAGTTACAAGAGATTCCGACCAAGCATCAGGAAGAACTTTCTGGAAGTAAGAGCTGTTCGACAGTGGAACAGACTTCCTTGGAGTAGCAGACTCTCCTTCTTTGGAGATTTTTAAGCAGAGGTTGGATGGTCATCAGTCATTGATGCTTTAGGTGAGATCTTACACTGCAAGAGTTTGAACTAGATGTCCCTTGGGGTCCCTTCCAACTCCACAATTCTATGAAACTTAGCCTGTTGTTAGTGTACAGTTTAGGAAGGTCTGTGTCAATTCACATCTCTTCACATATATTCAATATGTATGCTAATTCCCTTTTGATATATTAGAATTACATTTGATGTCATAGTTTACTCTTGGAGTGTGCTCAGCTCTCCGTGTCAAATGATCCTATAAAAGTGTCAGGGTTCCATGTAGAACTGCAGCCTTGAGTGCAAGCTGCACCATTCAGAAAGGCGCTCTGTTCTTAACTGATGCACTGGAAGTTGCTCACACAATTTCATGCGCTTTCCGTTCCAGGGGTACATGACAACACAGCTGGATAATATGCCAAGGAATGTGAATGAAATAAGGGAACACAATCTCTTCCTGAGAAGAAAAGCAGAGCTGCCGGCTCAGGTCATTTGAAAAAGTGACAGCATCTTTTTGGCTTTGAAAAACGGTAAACAACCAATGTTGAGAAGACAGCTTCAAACGTGGCCGTGTCCCACCCAGCCCAAAAGGAGTTTTGATACGTCGGCCTGTGAGAGAGACTGGAACGCAGCCACTCTGGTTCATCGGTTGAAAAAAACAACAGGATTTGGGGTTGGGGGCTTTTAGTCAGTATCTGTAGAAAACATAGAAGGAGCTTAAATGGAGTAGCCAGATTACTGAAGGTGGCTGTTGCTGTGCAAAACTTTGAAATACGCTCAGGCCATGATAAATGATGAATTAAGTCAGAAAATGACTGCGTTCCCAGTCTTTAGATTAATAGGGCGTCTCCCATCTGGAATGCTGGAGCGTTTCCTAAAGCTGGCCAACTACATTTCCAGGACAGGAATTTAAATTAGAATACATTTATAAAGTCAGCATTTGGGATGTGGAGCTTCTTACAGGTGTTATAAGAATCCGGAACGAAAGAGGGACGGGAAATATGCTTTCTTGGTTTCCTTTCCTTGTCCTGTCCCAGAGATTCATTGTGGACACAGAGGATCCAATATATACGAAAGATCAGATACTATCAACGCAGTCCTGGGACAATGCATGTGGAAATTTTACATCCACAGTTTTAGCCACACTGCAGTCCAAACCTGCCTCATGTGGGCTGCAGCCTCTCACCAGCTGCCACAGTGATGCTCGTATCGCATTGCTGGCACAAGCCTTCCCCATCCACCTGTTGAACATGCAGGTGTGGAGCTTGCCAGCCAAATCCCCACCAGTGGAGCCTAACAAAAGGCCCAGAAACAGGGCACTCTGAGCTGGCCTGGGATCAGCTAGATTCCAAGCTGCTCTCGCTGCTGGTGTCAGCCAGCAGAAGCCCTGATCCAGGCCCAACTGTGACAGAAGCCTAAAGAAGGCACAGGGATCAGGCCCAATCTTCTCTCCCCTCCCCCCTTCTGCTTCTGGGCTAGGGATGCACTTACAACTCCACACCTCTGCA